GGAACAACGAAATTAGAAGGCATGATTTGACTTTAATGCATAGGTATGAAAAATCGCAATAAAACACAATACAAAGGTCTGTATTAAAGATTATATTTTTAAAATTTCCCGACTTTTATTCATATAATCATGTCATCTATGCTTGTGTGCTTGACAAATGGAACTGAAGAATTTTAACATTCCAGGATTATCTAATATTTCTTTAACATATTTCAACCACTTGAGCTCTTGGTATCCTTACGCAAATATTTTTTATATCTTTTATACTATAATAAGACTTTACAATTATGGGTACAAGTCGATGTTTTACTATTTTTGTTTGGTTTTATAACTTAAACATCTTTAAGGTTAATGGGGTACAGTACAAGTACTATTAACTACTTAGCACAGATCTTTTAATTTAGTCTTCTGTCTAAGCCGACTGTTCATATAGATCTGTATGTGTATAAGGTAGCTAAGTTACAAGATTGACAAAACCTAATGATTTTCCTGGCTTTTACAAGGACTGAGTTATGACATTCTATGTACAACAAAGATTAGCAATATGCATTATGTCCGAAGATAAATAGATTCAATCAGAAGCTTAAAGAAATGCAAACATTTAAGAATTAATGACATAAGTATAAGCATGCTTGAAAGAAAGCTAAAGCGTGCACATCACTTGAAATATAGTCCTGCATCAAGCCCCTTTGGACATGTTGCACCCCCTCCGACCTCCCTTCCAATTGATTATAATATTATAGATTGTGTGAGGAACAATAGATTTAAATGAGACTAATGCCTCAGTCACGTGTGATCTCCGGCAACCATACAGCGGCAGTAGCTTGCTAAAATGGAGAGAAAAATACAGCATTAAATAAAGGGATAAGCAGAACATGTATATTTGCTATATAAATTTTGTGAAACTTTTGCCGCTGTACAACTGCCATAGAGCAAATGTGACTGAGACTTAATAATCAGGTCTTGTAGAAAAACTATTAACAAAGTGAAACTATTATTTTCAAAATAATAACTGCACCATTCCTTTAGACAAATGTTAATATGATTGATTTCATAATTAACAGGTGTGAGAAGAATTTGAAATATTATTAATGAAATACAATATGTTCATAGCATATGTGACCACTGTATTACTCAGTGAGGATAAGTCAGTATGTTATTCTGAATATCTGACAGAATGATTATGTGTTGTCATGGGGAAGATCTGAAATACATAGAGATTATCTGTCATTTGTTACAGATGCAAAACACCAACCGCCAAGCAATAAGTCACCACTGGTGGATGGGCCCCAATTATTAAGTCTTTCTGGGTCTCATTTTTAATATTAGGCCAAACTATCAAGAAAAGAGGCCTTAAGTTTTCTAAATTTTGGCCCAATTTTTGGTTCTAATGTGCAAAAACATTTTTTCAGACTTGATATGGGCCCCCCCTTGATAGTTTTCAGATCTGCCTCTGTATTTTCAATAATTTCAATATACAACTTTTGCTTTAATTCCTCTTTTATCATATGACATATATATGTAAACTATTAACTGTCTATCAAAAAGACATTAAACTTCAAGATAAATTTTATATATTGACACTAGAGAAAATATTGAGTAATATTGGTAAATTAGAATAGATTTAAGGTCATTCTCACTTCTTCAATGGCAGAATTTACTTACAATTTAAGCCGAGAAAGCTAGTGTATGTAATGTATAACTTGAATCGAAGAAATTCCAATGTAATGTACATGTACTGTTATGTATGAACCATGAACTGTATGTATGAACCATTTTCAAACAGTTGTAACATTTCTGCTATTATCGCAAACTCTTCCTCCTCAAATAAATACCTTTTAATGAATTATAATAACATTAGTAAAATTTTAAGACATTAACATGGAAAATGTTACCACATGCCATTTGTTACAATTGCCTGAAAAACTACTGAACAACAACCTCCGAACACAAGAAGTTGGAGACTATAACTAGCACAGGATTTAATTCTGTGTTTTCATTAACTAATATGTCACCACTCTAAATCACTTTGTGACAATACAAATCCCAACAAGACAAATCAAATTTTACTCAAAAGTTATAGAATTTCTTGTACTTTCATCTTAAAATGAATCATAAAAACACATCTGATGTTATTCTTTAATTGCGAAGCAGCTGTTAACGAAAACAAATAGTAATACCTATACAATAACCATGATTAACTTTACACAGACAAGGCAAGGCTGCATATGGACTTTGTAAATGAGATGCATATAATGGGAAACCTATTAATTTAAATTGAAATATCTACTTATAGACATAATATTTTATCGATCTTGTAGTCTTATAATTAAACATCTAGCCAGCCAGTGAGCCATCTAGCAGTTCAAGAAATTGAATTGATTTACAAAATCAAAAATAACAAAAATATGCTGCTAATGCATATCATACACATGTAACAGTTAGCCCATAATAATATGTGACATCTCACCTACAGGAGAATAATAGAGAGATACTATGGCAGGCACAGAACAAAATTATAAATGATTACCGATTATTTCAAATATTTCAGTCTGAAGTAATCAAGATACCCTATTCATAATTGATAGATGCTATTTTTGCATGTTGAAAGATATATTGCTTCGCTATGATTTCATACAATGGGGAAGTTTAACAGGGAACTTGATACAATCATAAGATATTGTAAAAGTATGGATTTAAACCAAGTCAAAGGTTCACCAAATCATACCAAAAACTGTATCTGCATCACAATAGAATCAAATTCACTTCCATAATTTCTATTAAGGTAATACTTTCATATGTTCAGGAGTTTTAATTGAAGCCCCTTGTTATTTTCAGGAACACATCACTCATTTCATGCATGGTGCTACATTTTTCAATTTGCACAAAGAGAATATACAAATATACCTTTATATGTTATTAGTTGAGGGTAAATAGTTTACTGTAATCTATGAAAGTTAAGACAATTCAGTGACCTACTCTTTAAAAGTATAATAATGTGAGTAACTGGATTTTCTACTTTGTCATTCAGGGTGACACAAAAAATGCCAACCCACTAATTTTGGGATAACTTTCTCAGTAAATCAGGAATCTTCATGATTTTTATATAAATAAGAGTGTTCAGTGAATGAAACATAGGAAAAACAACTTGGAAATTTAGAGAAATCTCATTTTTTGGGGGGACATGTTTTGATACCAAATCACTGATTTTAATATTACCCAACAATTATTTCATCAAATTTGAACAAAATTGAACATTTTTGACGATTTCACAATAAGAACATATCTGAATGGAAAACTTGATATCTCTAAATCTCAAAGTTGTTGATGCTACACAAGTACAACAATATTTTATGCATTGAACACTTTATCGACACAAAAAAATTCATGAAGAATTCACTGATTAATGAGAAATTTATTCTAAAATTAGTGGGTCGCATTTTTTGTGTTACTATGTTTATAGAATATTCGTCAGCTCTCAAAAGATGTAGACCTTCTTTGGAATGAGTTAAAATGTACATGTACCTGTGACACAGGATTCCAATTAGGAATCTATTGGTATTTCTGAACATGCAGAACTACATTAATATACATGGCCTTGGTACTGGATAAAATTGAAGATCCAACACAAGTTGGAAAAATATCACAAATTCAAAATGATAATTGGCTCAGTCTGCACTCTGCATCAGGTGTAGGCGGAGCAATATACCTGTAGCCTTTTAGTACTGCCTTCATTTATAAAAAAAACATAATAGACAAAAATTTGGAACAGGTACATGTGTATTTCAAGAATTCTGGGCATTATTTCTTATCTGACATTTCTTGTGACCAACGGCTCCAAGAAAGTTAAAGCTATATAGATAAAATTAAAGTTATATTGGTTTTAAATACACACGTTCCTATTTTCCATACAATCTTGCATTTGTGATCCAGCTTTGATTGCTTACACATGCAGATAATAATTGTTGGACACTCAGTGTATGTAGTTTACTCACTTCGAGAGCCATGTTAGATTTTGAAATCTATATGGCTCTCCCGCGGAGCAATAGACAGCTGAATAATAGTGACCAGTTTAAAACACAAATAAATGTGATCAGCGGATTACTTTTGTTCTCTAACTGTGCCCTACGTCATCAGTATCATCCATCCTTGCAAGTACTGGAGCATTGAAGTACTTCCTTTTCGATCAAGACTTGTAATTGTTAGTCGAGTGAATATTTTTCTGCCCAATTCCAATATGGCATTTTTTGCTCGGACATTTTCGTAAATCTCTGGACGTTGTCTGAACCGATCTCATTTTCATACATGTAATTCATTTCGTTCGTTGCGAATCTCACTACCTAGCAAACTGCCATATTGAAATTGGGTCTACAAAACATTCACTCGATGATCAATTTACAAGTCTTGATCGAAAAAGAAGTACTTCAGCGCTCCGATACTTGCACGGATGGATAATAATGACACAGTTAGAGACCAAAATTAAGTAAGCCGCTGATCACATTTATTCATGTTTTAAAGGTCACTATTATTCAGCTGTCCAGTGCGCAGTGGGAAAGCTATTATATAAAAATACACATTCTGTAGCTTTCGCAGGAAGTAATATGTAGTTATTTGTCCAACAATTACCTTTAGTTCATGGACGACATTGCCTCCCTTGTGATTCGACTGTAGTCGACTATGTAGGTCATGGAAATAGGCAGCGAATTTTGTATAAAATATTGATCTTCAGCTTCATAAAGACCCCACAATAATTTAAAGCATCACTATGAATTTGACATCTTAGTTTGAACTTGATTGCATCAGTTTCATATTTGTTGTTGTACAAATTGTCTATGTGTTGTCAAAAGAGATTTGAAATCTGAAATTATCCCACATTTTCAAATGCAAATTAAATGATAAAGGTCAGTATGAGACGCAACTAAACTAACATAATATTATCCTAAACATATTCGTATAACGATTTTCTGATTGAAATGTATAATCAAAAGATGTTTACTTACCGCACATCGTGAATAAAGTTCAGCTATCTGTGCCACGTACAAAACTGTTTGATTTTATGGTTGTACACTTCTTGAACTTTGACACAACTTCCGGGTCACAGCTGTGTTTTTCTGTTAATTATAAATTATTTATTCTAATTGATTTATTGATAAATTTATATACTGTTGGCCTCAGATGGTTTACATATTTGAGAAAATAGCTTGTTTACCCTGTATAATTTTCAACAAACAATGAATATGAAGAAAATAAACAACGTTTATTTGGAATGTGTTTCACACTAGGGACTTGTGGGTAATTTGAAAAACAAGAACTTACATGTTAAAAATCTACTACGCTTCCTTCACCAAACCATTGCAAACGCAGATTAGAAACATGAGTAAAAGGAAGGCCCCAACAGCTGACAGCCCTAATGCCGATTTTAGTGACTTTCTTTTCGGTAAATATAGCAGAATGAGAATTTCAATTTATTTTGATCAGTGACTTTCACTTTCAGTTCTTTTGTTTTTCAGGCTTGGCACTTTGAAGAATTAGAGAAATATAGAGCAAAGAGCAGGGGTAATATTGTTGAATACAACCCGCATGGCTAGGTACAGCTGTTTTCTGTACCCCGAATGACCGAAGGGAGTGAGGGGTTAGAAAGCTTTTGTGCCTAGCCCTAAGGGGTGTATTCAATGATTTTTCACCTGCTCTGAGGTCTATATTGCGATTCGAACATGAAAACTCACCGAAATGTTTCGAATATTCATTATGGGCCGCCATTACTACGGTCCGCCATTGTGACGTCACACATTACACATATTACCAGGGGCATTGTTCGCAAATATACCCCTAGCCTTGAAGAAGGCTTTAGCATTTGTTTTACTCACTTCGAGAGCCATGTTAGATTTTGAAACTTATGGCTCTCAAACGGAGAAGTGAACAGCTGATCAATAGTGACCTTTGAAATCGAATTAAGTCGATCCGCGGCTTACTTTTGGTCTCTAACTGTGTCTTACATCAGTATCATCAATCCGTGTAAGTATTGGAGCGCTGGAGTACTTCTTTTTCGATCAAGACTTGTAAATTGTTCATCGAGTGAAAGTTTTTTAGACCTATTTCCAATATGGCGGTTTGCTAGGTGCGAGATACGCAACGAACAAAATGAATTTTGAGAATTAGTTAGGTTCGGACAACCTCCGGAGATTTACGAAAATGTCCGAGCAGAAACCGCCATATTGGAATTTGGCAGTAAAACGATTCACTCGACTAACAATTACAAGTCTTGATCGAAAAAGAAGTACTCCAGCGCTCCAATACTTACACGGATTGATGATACTGATGTAAGACACAGTTAGAGAACGAAAGTAAGCCGCGGATCGACTTAATTCGATTTCAAAGGTCACGATCATTGAGCTGTCCAAATGCTCCGTGGGAAAGCTATTATATCAAAATCCAAATAGCTTTCGCAGGAAGTAACATTTGTTGATTTTTAAAATTTGGATATTTGTTTCATTGGAAATGCTAAAGCCTTCTTCAAGGCTAATATACCCCTGATGAAATGTTGACTTTGTTTACAGTTTATAAAAGGCGTGAATATACAGTCATGTTCGAATAAGAGTTACATGTATGTCACTTATGTGATAGAGTTTTTCTTAGGCTCGATTTTTGTTATACATGATGAACATGCTTCTTGGGGGACTCAGTTTTTTTATACATGTTCCCGGGTCTATATCTGCAGGATACATATTTCAGGCCTCCACTAAGTTATTGGCTAGAGACTCGAGTGAACTGCAGAGGCAGATATTTCCAGAGAAATACAACTTAAATATATCCAAAACCGATCATATATAACTGGTGTATCTCATACTTGAAGAGAGAGGAGTGTGGATTAATACCTGAAGAAGATGGCCCAAAAAGAAACAGTATGAGATACAATTGTAATATGTTCTATGACATTATTTTAATTGGTAGTACAGGGAAGCAGTGTTCTCCATGTACATGTATATAAATGTTGGAAAATTGGTGCATTGAGTTGTCAGCATTTGCCCATATTGATTTCATTGCTTTCCTTTTCTCCATTGCACGTGCTTCAAATGTATCATTGAATAGTATCTTAGAAAAACATGCAAGTGCAAGGTTACTATAGCAAGAGAGATGGGAGCCTAGCTTAGAGATGACTTTTTGAAGAGGCGTAAAATCAGAATAGAAATGAAAAACTGAGAGACAAGCATATTGTCCAGCGATGTCCTTATTTAATTATCATGTTTTTTGACAGAGTTGGCGAATTTTGAGAAAAATGTGTCCCGTAACATGCACAAATACAATGTATATAGGAAGGCTGCTGGAACATTAGCCAAACTCCCTAACAGGATCAAGAATGGAACTGAGGCTCAAAAACTGGTAACTAATTTTTACTTTAATATAATTTTCCTGTACTATAGTACAGACCATGTCCATCAATTGTCATATTTTGTACATATATTCCTGTTTGGTTAAGGTAAGGCTAGCCTCATGAGTGTTGATTGGTCCTGCAAGATCAAGAAGAGCCTCTCTGAAGTGTCCACCTTTCTCTCTGTTTTGGTTCTATCATGATGCATCTGATTGGCTTAGTTGGTTCACTGCTGCACTTTGTGTACCCTATATAGTCAGTAGTTAGAAATTGAAATTGGACCTAGCTGAAAAGTAAACCTTATTTTCAAGCAACTTAAAGGCAGAATCAGATCTATAGGGATTGACAAGATTACAAGCAATGTGCATAATTGACCTACCAATCTATTCCTTACAATATCAAATACAATATCTCCAAAAAGATTCACAATTTTTTGTTTAGCCTACTCGCTATCTCTGATTCTCTCTTTAAGGTCACATACACATACCGTATTATTAGTTTCAGGTAAGACTTTATACTGTAGTTGCTAAGAAAACCTGGTAGGATAAATTATGATGAAGAATACTGGCAAAAACAATATTTTTTTATACATGTTCCCGGGTCTATATCTGCAGGATACATATTTCAGGCCTCCACTAAGTTATTGGCTAGAGACTCGAGTGAACTGCAGAGGCAGATATTTCCAGAGAAATACAACTTAAATATATCCAAAACCGATCATATATAACTGGTGTATCTCATACTTGAAGAGAGAGGAGTGTGGATTAATACCTGAAGAAGATGGCCCAAAAAGAAACAGTATGAGATACAATTGTAATATGTTCTATGACATTATTTTAATTAGGGATAGGGATTGACAAGATTACAAGCAATGTGCATAATTGACCTACCAATCTATTCCTTACAATATCAAATACAATATCTCCAAAAAGATTCACAATTTTTTGTTTAGCCTACTCGCTATCTCTGATTCTCTCTTTAAGGTCACATACACATACCGTATTATTAGTTTCAGGTAAGACTTTATACTGTAGTTGCTAAGAAAACCTGGTAGGATAAATTATGATGAATATACTCCTGTTTACAAAATAATTGATTGAAGTATTAATTGATATATATATTATATAATTTCCTTCCAGGATGGTATTGGTAAACAGATTGGCAAAAAGATAGATGAGTTCATACAGACTGGATCTCTTGCTAAGCTGGAAAAGGTGAGTTCACTGAGAAATACATCAGAAAATTTAAGAGGCCTAATTACACGGGTATATCACATGTGTAATTAGGGTCATTATGTTTCCTTAAAACACAAGAATCTATCATAACTTCCTAGCTTTATCTGTGTCTTGTCGACCAAAATTTAAGGTTACGAAATGAAAAAACAACAACCTTTGAACAAAGTATTACTTATTGATATTGTACATACAATAATACTTAATTATCTGTTAGAACAGGTTTTCTTGTGTTCTTAATTACATGTGGAAGTTATTATACTAAATTGATATGTAAACTTAATAAACATATGCCCTTTAATTAATTAACCCTTCACAGTGTGTTTCACACTTTTAATCAAGTCTAAATATTCAAGAAATTATTATTAAAATTTATGATATAAGACCCATCATTATATATCGAATAAACCTAAACTCCCTACATCCATTAATAAATTCTTTGAGTCATGGAAGCATTTTTTTGTTATACAAACCTTTAGTTGAACAACATATTCCATTTTATATAATGTAAAAACAGTTTTAAAGAATATCTAGGCAAACTGGTTCATCATGTCTTTCGTACATAGAAGGGTTAATTTCCAAATTAATTGAAGACTGATAAAGCTGGTATTGTTTGTGGTGATCATGTACATGTACACATGTTGATATGGCTGTTATACATGGACAAAGTGCAGAGGATAAATGTCTTGAAGGAGTGGAAGGTTTGCATTGATTCAGTATTACACATGATTATATGAATTGTTAAATCAGGGTTATATGGTGTATTTTTCAAATTGTGGTCATTGAGGGTAGTTCGTAACAAGTTTGGTATATTCCATGGTTTAGATGTTTTCATTTACAGTAGGTTCAGTAGGATTGCTGATTATTATATATATTTGATACTCTCTGTTTCAGATCAGGGCAGATGATAATTCCCAGGCCATTAACCTGCTTACTAAAGTAACTGGAATAGGGTAAGAAGCAGTATTGGTAATATATAGTGAAAGTAAATGCTGTCGAGGCAAGCAAAAAGGTGGTCACATGGAGAGGGGTCTAACAACTTGGGAATTAATAGGGCGCAAAGTGTTCACATTACATTTAAAAGGAGTGACTGTACCATGATAAAAACATATATAGGATGTTTTGAATACACACTACTCTTTATCCAAACCATCTGAGAGATAACATTTTTTAACTTATTTAACTTACGACCTACATATCTTAATGGCTTTTTATTTCCCTGTTCATAAACAAAACAGTGTTTTAAGGAGCTTCCTTATACAGGTATTCATTTTTCATATATTCATATATTTCAATATTAAACTGGTGTTGTTTACCTAAAACACTGTGATAAAATGACATGTACCTTTTAACATCATGCATTACTTAGCTTACTTAAATTTTTTGGACTGTATATTGAATTCACATCTTCATCGATTTTATTTCCAGACCTGCCGCTGCCGCCAAGTTTGTACAAGATGGCATTAAATCCCTGGAAGGTAAGTGAATATTGATGGCATTGACCAGCATTCCAAAGATTTTTTTGCCACATGATCCTTAAAGGTTTTATAATGGCACTGATACATCCCCTACTTCATTTTGGTATATATCATAATTCAACTATGAGGAGTCAATGTTAAATCCAGAAACTTGATCAAAATCCACTTATGTCCACATGTTTCAATGTGAAATTATCATTTGATGGATTACCATCAAAAGTGATCTCCACTTAGATAAATGGACATCATGCAAATCGGTTGAAATTACATATATACTTATGTCTTCTTTTAACACATCGATCTGTTGTGAAAAGATCTCTCTTGAACATCTCTACCATTTCCAATAAACTCCTCTCTGGAATATAATCTCTCAGTTGTGAAAATATTATTCTTGTGAACACTACAAGTTTCTGGTGGATAATGTTCTTCAGTGCATGCATGTTCAGCTGGTGTGAAGGCCACTATCAAGTATTCATATCTCTTGTTACAATTTGAGTAATAAATATGTAGATAGAAAAGATACAACTGCATATCTCAGTACATTGTACTTATTTTGAATGTTTTCTTTGCAATTTTCAGATCTGGCAAAACACAAAGACAAGTTGAACCATCATCAGAAAATTGGCCTCAAGTAAGTTATTTGATGCACATATCCTTACATGAAGAATTATATGATTGAATTGTCCCCTTATTTAACCCCCTGAATGAAATCTGGAGTGATATAGAAAAGATGCCCATCCGTCTGTCCATTCGTCCATCCATTTGTTCGTCTGCCTGGAATATAACTCAAATATTGTATTTTGGATTGGGCTCAAATTGTATAGTCTTGTGCCTTATGGACAGAAGAGCTCTGCTCAAGAAGGAATTTCAATGTGGCCACTCAATTAAAATCTTCTTATATAAACTTTAGTAATTGTCAAAATATCTTTGTATTAATATTCGGGTTTGAAAGAATTCATTAACTAAAATTTATGTTTATTTTATTTTTCAGATACTTTGATGATTTTGAGAAGCGTATTCCTAGAGATGAAATGCTGGATTTAGAGGTATGACTTACAGTGGTTTGATCAAATATAAATAAAAGCTCAGTGGGCCTACAAAGGTTCTATTTATGTGAATTAAATACAGGCATAAATGTTTAATTCATTGGAAACTCAAGAAAATTCAATAAGATCCCACCCAAATTGAGATATCCCAAAATTAAAAATGTTCATTTTATCAAGTCAACTTATATTATATTCATTTTATGACTGAACTTTAGTAAGACTGTGCCTTTCAGTTCAGATCAAGGAACCTTGAAATCTAAAAATGGCTGCCCATTTGCTGATGTTTTTTTTTATTTAGATTTCCTCTCAAGAAATGAGCTAGAAATTATCTCTCCTCGCAGCAATTTCCAATGGCTGTGCTGCTCAAAATAGCCATCTATAATAAGTCAAATGCCAGATTTGATTGAAATTTTATGTGCTGACAAAGCAAGGACATCTACAGTACTTCTATTTTCTAATATGGTGTTATGTCATGTTATGGATGTAGAAGTTGCAAAAGGGAACCAATACTTCTGCCTGGTTATACCTGTCTTTAAATAACAAGTGATTAATTTATGATAGTCTTATCATATTAACTGTCCAGAAGACATTTTCTTGGACTACAGTTTTGCATGGTAGAAAAAGGCCATGAATTGTTATATAATTGATTATTTACAGTTTTGAATTTTTAAAACAAAACTGAAAATGCATGTGGTTTTATTTTCAAAATATTTAGAAATGTTCTCAAGTCATATTTGAATGAAATTTGATCTATTATATTTTTCAGGCATATGTGCTTACAGCAGTGGAGATGGTTGATAAAGAATATACTGCAAAAATATGTGGCAGCTTTCGCAGGGGTATGGTCTTACAGTTAATCTTGAACATTAAATTATCATTGTCACTGCCAGAAGTTATGTATTGTTAAGAATTCTCTCTCTATATATATAAGAACCCCTGGCACTATATAACTTCAAAATATGGGGTATATAGGTTGGAAAATAAAAAAGTGGCGTTTTTTTGGCCCACACTGTACTCATATATATATGTATTGTTCCCGTCATGGTATCTATGGTTCCTGATTTTGGAATCGTAAATTTATGAAAGGTTCTGGTAGTGACCCCTATCTGTCACTAATAGTATATTTATCCTTTTAATCAGAATGTACACATGCATGTACTCTTAGAAGTGATGTAACTTGGATATTAGCTGTTTTTCAACATATTGGTTTGTTTTACAGGTGCTGCCTCTAGTGGTGATATAGATATACTACTAACACACCCTGCATTCACCTCAACTGATAAGAAATCAGTAAGTATATTACAGAAAACATGTATGAATTAAAATAACAGTCTGTTTGTACTTAAAAAGTCAATTATGTATTTGAAAGGTCCTCATTGTTTACTTTGTTAAGGATGAGTCAATATATACATGTATTACATACCTAGCGAAGCATTTGTATGGAAGTCAATGGGAAAGTTAGCGAGCTATATCCACCGATATTGCCCGATTACCCCGATATAGCCCGCTTACCTCGTTTTGATATTAGATTTCTTTAATAACCATGATAATATCATGACGTCACGTCATTGATACAAAGTAACCATGGGAACAAAGGCATGTAATACATCAGTTATGTCACTATGACGTGAAATATGCCTTCGTTCTTGCCCAAATATAGAGCCTCCCAAGGTCGGCCTATATTGGGAGAACTCAGGCATATTTCACGTCATAGTGACATAACCTCTAAATATATCATTTTGGTCCCAAGCATATGTATATGAAATATGGTTTTTAGATACTGTTTTTGAATATATTTTATTAAGATATAATTTTCAAAACTCAAGAACCAGTAGTCAGATTTGCCTTAGATTTTGTGTGCTGTTGCATTTATGATGGGCATAGGATTGTCATAGAAGAATTTTAAAGAGGGCCACTGAATTCAAAATGGCTACCGAGAGAAATATAATTCTCAATAACTCAAAAAGATTTTAAAAATGATGCCATATGGATATATGATCTTTACTATAGAAGGAATTTCTAAGGATTCACTCTGTTACATTCTCTCACATTTGCAAATATAAATACCTCTACATTCACACCATATAGCTGTTTATGTACCACTAACATAAAAAACAGATAAAAAGTTGGCCTTAACATTTATTTAATAAATCTCTTACATCAGAAGCATATTTTTTTTGTTTTTGAAAAATTCAATGCTATCAAGATATTGTTTTACATTGAGATTATTGTTGCTCTTCATTTTCCCTTGTTTTTTAATAAAGCAAGTAATTAACACAAGCATACATTATATACAGCAGTAATTCAATATAGTGTGTGTATATGAGATACATATATAGGTTGACGCAAAAAGTGGGCCTCAAATAATATCACATAACTAAAACGTACACAATATCTTCATTTGCATAATCATCATACCATGTATGACGTTAAGGAACACTAAAGCCATCTCTATAAGTGAACATAATATAAGTAAGGTCAAAGAAAAACTTATTTTATAGAAAGTGTGATTAAAAGGAATTGCTAAAACAGTAAGCAATCATATTGTATTCATTAAAAATGAATGATGTAAGAAATGAGAATTCAGACGAAAAGTGGACTGAAAGATAAGCAACCAGTGCTTCATAGACTGAAAGTTATAAAATCTAAAATTAAACTGGCAATAGGTAATTCAGCAAGTCATTTAACCAGCCTCCTTTCTGGTTGTCTTTATTGGACACTGCTACAACAAACACATGTCCCTCATCATTTCTGTGTTCTGCCTCAGTTTGCTGTTCCTTACTTTTAGGTTCCTCTTCTCTTTGAGGCTTTTCTTCACTTTGAGGCTTCTCCTCATTTTTAGGCTCATTTTCACTTTGAGGCTTCTCAATTTGAGGCTCATTCTCTCTTTGAGGCTCCTCCTCATGTTGAAGCTCCTCACTTTGAGGCTCATTCTCTCTTTGAGGCTCCTCACTTTGGGGATCCTCCTCACTTTGGGCCTTCTCCTCACTTCCGGGCTTGTCACTTTGAGGCTCATTTTTCTCAGTGTTCGACTCACTATAATCTTTATCCACCATGGTCACCTTTTCATTTGTAGCACTATTGACTTCTGTGACCACAACTTCAACATCATTTTGAACATGTTCACTACCATTTGCAGAAGACAGATTTTTATGCTCATTTGATTCACTGTTTGTCAGTTCATTGTCATCTTTCTGAGTTTGTCCATCTACTTTTCCCTTTTCTTGATAGTCCATGAATCCTTCATCCTTAGGAGCATTTGAAGACTGAACATCAGGATTTTCTTTGTCATTAACAATGTCAGCTGTCATCGATTCATTTGAACAAGTTACGATTATTTCACCACCAATAAGTTCAGTTTCAATGCCACTTGATCCACTTCCATCAACACCACTGTCCTCTTCTCCACTTCCCTCCTCTCCAGACCCATTTATTTCTTCATTTGAAGCTTTGTTGTCTTCTTCTCTGAGGCTTTCATCAACTGCAATGCAAAAAAAGGAGTTCATTAGCTTCTACAATTGAATGTTCAAATCTTACTCTTTATATTCCATGGGGTATGTATAACCTATTAGAATTAACATTTCTCATAAATGGGAAATCAAATCAAATAATGTTTGGTAATAAAAATGCTAAGTTCAACCCAGGCAAATCTTAATAACTCAGTATCCGGTACGGTCATATTTGGTATGATTGAACACTGTTCAATGTTCTTTCATTCCCCCAAGTTTCATTGGTCTATTCCAAATAGTCATTTTACAAAACATGCTCAAAGTTTTATTTTTAGAGGCAAACATGAACACATCAGGTGGAGTTTTCTGACTTACACGCTCACAGATACCTTGTGTAATGGCTCTCATTTTCCTTCTAATTTCTTGTTTCAACTCTTGTTAGTATAAACAGTATCTTTGAAATAGCCCCAATGATAAAATTCAAGGGGTTCATATTGGGTGACTTTGGTAAGTTTTGGCATTTGGAGTATGTTTTGTATATGGGTGATACAATCATTTGGAAATGACCAATGAAACTTACTAGAAACTTATAATGAACAAGGTTTAATTGTACAAAATATGAATTAAAACCCATACCAGATGACTGAGTAATTACTCAGATGCGAGTAGGTAGTTACCAGTTTCGCTACCAGGTGGCTGATTCGGGGGAAATAACATGGCAGGGTATTACAAAATTCCCTTAAACTTGAATATTTATCAGTTTTAGTGGTTCACTTTTCATATTACCCTTATGTATCTGACAGCTATACATATTAAAATATGTCCAGTAAAAGAAAATATTATCTGCCCAACACAAGAAAAGATATTTCCATTTTTGTGATTTTCCAACATGGGGGCTATGGGGAATCTCCCCGACCTAGAAGTCACATTTTCAAAAAAAATTAAATTTTCAAAGTTGATAAACTCTTTTCAAAACCATATTTCTAGATGTGATTTTACATGTAGATTCCAAATATGACATCAATTTGACTGAATTTTGAATTTTTAATGACGTAAATCAAGATTATTTCTACTCGCATCTAGGATATTGAGATTTGTTTGTGTTACTTTTTTTGGCTCACCCTATATACTCTGACCTCAAAATACTCTTAGTTTCACGGCGTGGTATCCAGACTGCGTGCATACAATGCAATGTTTGAAACACTGACAAACTGTGTGCATATTTAAAAATGTCACACAGGGAGGTCACGACTCCCAAAATGATGAAAAGTACTGGAAATGCAAGTTTGGTTTGGTTTATGTGACAGTACCATTATGTGGAGACTAACTTACTTAACAAATAGCGCTCAATTTTTTTCCCGATTTAAACCTTGTTATATCTCAATATATGGTTCCTAAGGAGCTTTTGTGTTCAAAATATACAGTGTCACAGGCTGGTATCGAAAGATTTGTCCGCTGTGACGGAGCATGCTATTTTTCATAAAAACACTAAGAATGCTTCACGATTCATTTTTTAACTCATATGTTTCGTTATATCAAAGATAATTACTTACTCCATGCAATGGATATATCATTTGCGTGTAACCTTCACTTCTGTTTGAAGTCCAATAACGCTAGGAGTAAAATCTATTGAAAACGGCGCCAGAGTATCAAACTCTAAAATGTACCATTTCTTTTTTAACTTTTTAATGGCATGATATAGTGACACGATAATATTAACATATGTTTTCAGCATAACTCTGAATGTATTAATGATATATTAATGCATTGGGTCTTTTTATTTTTTTTATAAAAAATAATATTAATATATTTTGTCCGCTGTGACGGAGCATTTTCACAGTTCACATTTGCAACTGCTCCGTCACAGCGGACAAAAAAATTAAACATTATTTTTTATAAAAGAATTAAAAAGACCAAATACATCAACATCTCATTTATACCTTCATAGTTATGCTGAAACCATGTGTAAATATTATCGTGTCACTATATCGTGCCATTAGAAAGTTAAACAAGAAATGGTACATTTTGAAGTATGATACTCCGACGCCATTTTCAATAGCTTTTCTTCCCAGCGTAATTGGACTTCAAACAGAAGTGAAAGTTACCCGCACATGATATATCCATTGCATGGAGTAAGTAATTTTGTATGGTATAACGAAAGATATGAGTTAAAAAATAAATCGTGAAGTATTCTTAGTGTTTTTATGAAAAATAGCATGCTCCGTCACAGCGGACAAATATTTCGATACCAGCCTGTGAGTGTTATGTCATATAATGTCTGTTTGTCTCATGATCATCTGATTTATGTGAGAACTGGGTTGAGATTTACATATGAAACCAAACCAAACAGAGTATTTTCTATTCTGTGAAAAGTGCGACATCAACTTATGTGTTGGTAATCGAAAAACCTATAGAATTTTTCCATGAATCTGCTTATATTTTAAAACCTTCATCTGGACATAGTTTTAGCTATCACATGCTAGAATCATATAATCACCACCGAATGGGCGTATGCAACTATAAATCAATGCAGAACAGATGTCTTAAAATGATGTTTGAAAACACAAGCTCCAACTTGTATGATGCAATGTTGATATGCACTCAGTTTGTCAGTGTATCAAACTGTATGTATATTATGCACGCAGTTATGGATACCGCACCGTGAGTCTGATACATTGACACTATGACAGATGCAGAACACTTTAAATCTCTATTAAAGTCAAACAATCTGATATAATATTATCTGAAAATATTATAGTGTAAATTAAATGAAATATAGTATTGCAATAAAACTGTTTTTATAGCTTTGAATAGATATGCATCTTTTCATAATCATTTTGTTAACATTGATTTTCCCTATTTGTGTATTATTTCATGATATTGTTAAATTAGTTGAAGTTTTGTATTCAACTAATATTTTGGGGTCTCACAATAAAGAAAGAACCAGTGCCAAGTTACAAATAAAATCAGCAAAATATCTTACCTTTGGAAGGAATATCTGTCACATTTGCTTCAGCAGCTTTTTCTTTAACGGGTATTTTTTCAACTTCATTTTTGAAAATAGTTTGATCAGTTTTGATATCTTTTTTAATGTCATCTTTCTCCAATAACTTTATAACCTCATGTTCATACTCAACCAGTTTTGATATTATTTTGAATTTATTTTTTTGTTCTTCAATTTTTTCTGTCAGATCCTTCACTTTTTCCTCTTCTATTTGATGTTCAAGTTCATGTACTTTTTCATCTTTAAGCTCAAGTTCAGAAGTTGTGTTTTTCTTGTCTTCTTGGATTGGCTTTCCCAGTGAGATCTTAGCAATTCCCAACATGAGTAGAGTTAAACATAAAACATATGTCACTTTTAGACCCATCGTTGCTGTAGTTGAATATCAGTGTTGCGTTAAAAAGCGTAATTGTCACTAAACTAAAATGGTTACTCAAATCATCGTTTAAATAGAATTTCAAATGATGATGTCATCACAATGTCCGTCTGCAATTTCATCTGTCTGTCTGCAGTAACATCAATATTACCTGAGAATAAAAATTCAGGTGGACATGTCTGGAAATGAGTAACAAGAGTTGAAGGGATCAACCAGGATGGAATAACATGATATATACGATGAATTCGGCGTAAAAATACAAAAAGATGAAAACTGTATTGATCTATAGAGAAAAGTCATGAAATAAACATGAAGTAACATTGTAAACAAAGTTGGCCTGATTTGTTCAGGCCATTGCTTTATTAAGTCAAATGTTTATACGTCAATAGAAAGGACATTCTTTGACAAATCTCTGTTTTGTCTGTAAATTAGGTTATCTTAACCGATATGTCTCAATTTATAATTGCATCATTTTTGATTATCTTTAATCAAAACAGCTGTCTAATGATATCCTCTTTTATCTAGTGCCTCTTTCTAAAATTATACTAAAAAAGTTCACATAAGATAGTCGACGCAAATGTAATATTCAAGATATAACAAGAAGACACATAAAATGCTGTTAGTTTAGTCAATATGGAGGTTTTTGAGAGAACTTTTACATGGATTTTTCATATACCATGACCAGCAGGGATTTCTGTCTCCCTCTCAATTGGTTCTATACATGCTATTACAACTTTTTTTCGTCATACCCTTATTCTTAATCGGCAAGGTTATTTATAATGAAAGGGAGCCTTCATCCCTAGAAGACCATTATTCTACAAATAAACATTTAAGTTCTGATAAAAATGTGTAACTTGACCTTACCCAAATAATCCAACCATGACCAACTTTAATTGACATCATATTGTAAAAATATATTCTACATGAAATATATCGTTTGTACGTTATAAGAAGGTATGAACTTGACAGAATGACATTTGGTGGTTGATATAAAAATGTAATGCTCAAATCTGTTGACTTTTAAAATACCACTTCAAATACGTATCATTAATATTGCCTATGATAAACACTTAAACAACCGTCAACTCCTTATTTGATAAACTAGCTGAATTGTTTTGACTTTGGTAGACCATGGCCATAAACAGGGGTGGCCTAAACAGGATCACACAGTATTTTTCAATTTGTTTATTCATCAAAATCACTTGATTCCAAGGATGATAGTTTGGTAATATGTCCTAATTTGACATCAACCTGTCTGGTTTACTAAATTAATTTGGAATATAAGGGAGTCATGATATTTTTTGAGTTTGAGTAACTGTAACTGATGACATGGTTATTTTATACAACTATGTTAAAGAAATGTTGATTTTATTTCATTACTAGAAGATATAACAAGCCAGTTTTTCAGATATCTGGCCTAGTAAAATGAAAGTAAATAAATTTGTACTTGACTAGACTCATTCTGCCTTGTCTCTAACCCTCAGTTTTTAGATCATATGGGGTAGCTAATGAGTATCATTTTAAAAACAACCTTGATTATGATTATTAGAAGGAAAAATAACAAACTAATTGTTTCACAAACGTCTAGTTCAGATAAACTATGTACTACTAAGTACCTGGCTAGACTAGATATGAGACATTTCCCCTTTTGCTCTCAAGTTTTTGGTCTTATGAAAGAGATTTTATGATATAAATACTACATAAACGACAACCTTGACTGTATTGATTGTACCCCAAAAAATTAAGGATGTCTGGTTCAGCAAAACTATGTCGGCATTAGACTAAACAAATTATATTGGAATGTTTTTGACAACATCTCAAGCTGTGATCTCAACCCTCACCTTTCTCAAGTTGTCTGGTTCAACACACTTGACTAGACTTATAATAATGGCCCTGGTAGGTATCGATTTAAGCCCAAGCATTCATCCGACCAAATATTGCAGTCTTAATTTTTCAAAAGGAACGTTTTTTTGAAATATAAGGCCTATTTTTAATAAAAATATTTTCATAGTATCACAGATATTGGATTTTGAAAATTTCAATGTCAAAAATTACTTCTCAAAAAGTTGATTTTTCAAATTCATTTTTTCGATCCAAATGGAATTCAGCTTAATTACCAAATACCTACATGCCTGCTAAGGTCTGAAAAAGTAAAATTTTTGAGGTAACAATTGTTACATTTAAGTGACCATTTTCAGGTGGTGACATTTTGTCATGATAATGTTATCCATCCATCCATTTGTCTTTTCATTTGTCTGTCTGTTCTTCTGTCTGCCCATCCATAGCATAGCCGTAGCCAGCGGGGGTTCGGTGGGTTCGAACGAACCCCCGGTCAGGATTTCCCAAAATATCATTTTGCGGAAAAATGCATATAACCAGAATCATTAAATTACTGTGCTATTTGAAAACTACATATATGAGCAGTAAATGAATTGATATTTGTTATGGTGAACACGAGAGCATTATTTTCTTAAAAACATGTCATAGTGAAGTTACACTTCCCTCAAAACGTTTGGCATGCTTCATCTCGGACAAAATAACCCATCTTGGGCAATGGCAGTCAGTCCTTTGTAGGAATTTTGTTTTAAGCCAGTTCTGGTCAAATACGAAGTTATTGAAAGTTATTGAAAACAATGCAGACGTCCCATACTCCCATGATTTTTACAACATTTGCGAATAAATATCTGGAATAGTCGTAATATTGATGAAACACATGTTCTTTCAAATGTGTACATCTCTGTTTTGTTTTATTTCAATTAAAATTAAATATTTCTTGGGGCGTCCCTGGGGCTGCCAAGTCCCCGAAACCAAATAATAATTAAAAACGTTGTGAAATGAATTATTTAAAAGCGTGTATCATTAATAAACACAAGCATTTGTTAAAATTCATTCATTCTTTCATTTGTTCAGTATTTATTTACCCATCACTTTCCATAGAAAAATCAATCATTGCAAAAAATGATTTTGTTTTTTCAGATACACTCCACTCATCTAAGAGATTGTATAGAATTCAATTTGTTATCGTTCCAGTTTACTTGCTCTCCATTTTCATGTTAATGTCATGATATGTTTAGCGAATAAATAATATAATAAAAAAAACATTGAAAAATGATATGGTATTAATCTTCAAATGATGAAGGCCTAATTTGTTATCAAGCCGTCTGAACTTAACAAAATAACAGTCGCTTGTATTTATATATAGAGATTATCCTATACGAGGTTCAGGATATTGGGATTATCCGAGGCGAATATAATATATTTGTCCGAGGGCCGCAGGTCCCGAAGGGAAATATATTATATTGGCCAAGGGATAATCCCAATATCCTGAACCGACTATAGGATAATATGTTTATCCCATACCAATCTTGGTCATCTGGTTCACATTGTTCAATCGTGGAAATATTTTAGAATATTCATGTCCAGTTTTGTTTTCTTGGCCGTGGGCGGATTTTCCTGTTCTCTCAAATATTCCCACAATTATTTTCTCGAATTTTTGATTGATGAAGTGGATGCTCCTTCCCTTTTTTAAACCATCAAACAGATCCCGATTGTCTGTGTTTTCTCCATTGTCGTTTACAGCCATTACGCGAACGTTACAAACTATGAACAAATATGCGAGCGGCGATTATGACGTAGCGGGCAGATATACTATATCTGCCCGCTCGGAGCGGAACATAAAGCTATATCTGCCCGCTGATGAAAATATAAGTTTTTACAAACCGGCTTTATGAACCTGTAACACGTCCAAGTATGGGATAAATAATTTTATCCACTAAAACGTTTTTATTATCAATTGCGGTTGATCATGCTCCGGGGGACTTACCACTGAGCTCCGATGACGTCCAAAGAAATATTTTTAACTTTTTAAAACAAAGCATAACCGAGACCCACTTATTTGAATAATAGATATTTTCATCAGTAATACGACTATCCCGGATAGTTTATAAAGCCTTCGTGTAAACGTTGTGAAAAGTTATCATGGAAGAACGATCTTTCGGAGTATAGGGTGTTTGCGTCAATTTCAATAACCTTGCATTTGATCCGAACTGGCTTCCAACAAATTTCCTGAAAAATAATGACAAGCCATTGCATGAGGTGATTTATTTTGTCCTAGATGAAGTAGCTTAAGTTAAAGAATAAATTGTGCGAAATAGTTGATATTCTTTGGAAACAAATCATGCTCCAGGGTCTTCCAGAAGTCAGTCGAAATAATGGTGGATTCACCGAAGTATATTTTGATGCAGAAAATTAATTATGACTTTTTTGCACGTTGCCTGTTTATTTTACTTTGTGACCATTAAAGTTGCAAAGCTACAACGGGTCATTTTTGAAAATCATTTTTACGACCAGACTTTTCTCATGTCATTCCTTGTCATGTTTATTTTCTAAAAATCACAACTTTATTCCAGGAAAACTAAAGACTTTTACAAAAATGTATTATTATGGTTACCATTCTTATTATTTGGGAGAATTTAAACATTTTCACTCATTTTTGCACTTTGAATCATTCATAACTTCACCAATTTATAACATGTTGTGAATCTTTTGGGAGATATTGTATTTGATATTGTAAGGAATAGATTGGTAGGTCAATTATACATGTTGCTTGTAATTTTATCACCCCTATAGATCAGATTCTGCCTAATGAAGGTATTGAAATGAATTATATTTCCCCTCCCAAAATAGTTTTTTCTTTACAAATTATGCAAATAAGAATTCAAACTTAAAGATGCTTTAATACATAATCCAATGGGGTAGTTAGGATTGCCAATCTTTTGGAGGGAGTGTAATTGTACAAATTGCATTATTTGAGAAACCCTTATGAAGGGGGGATTTGTGAATAACATAAAAATAGAACCCCCGGTCACCAAATCCTGGCTACGCCACTGCATAGCTCTTTCTGGACAATGACTCAAATACCGGTTGACAGATTTTCTTATTTAATATAAGCTTGTTAAAGACATCGCGTAATTACTATATCTAGTAACTTACTTTCTTGGTTCTTTGATCCTTGAATCGGTAGTTAAGTAACTCGCTTTGTTACTTTCTTGCTTACTTACCTGATTATTTACAAATGTCTAGTTCATTTAGTATTTTTTATTTTTTTATTTTTATATATGAAATTAATTTCCTTTTTTGCATAAACGTTATCTAATAAATAGCTGCCTTAATTCTATTGTTGAAAGTGATTTTTTTCTTTTTCAGCCAGAGAAACTGAAAAATGTTGTCAAAGATATGGAGAGCAGGGGGTTTATAACTGACACATTGTCACATGGTGATAGTAAATTCATGGTAAGTCAATGCTACATCAATATTCATTAATTTAGTTGTATATATCACATTTTCTGTCTTGGTCAAGAAGAGCAACATCACAGGATGTCATCGCCTTTGGACTGATTCCCCAATTAACATATGTTCAATGTGGCCAAGGAATTGTGCCACAGATGGCATATTTAAACATGAATTAGGGTAGCTAAAAAGGTACACTATCGGCTATTGTTCATAGGCCAACCTGATCAAATCACCCCGGAATAGCCTGACAACGGTAAAGTCAGATACCGTTGTCACAAATGGTGGACATGACCGTCGCTTCATTTAGATTTTCATGAACTGTATGGTTAATAGAGCACCTAGACTAAATTCTTTTGGAACAACAATCAATCAAAGTGTCTTTATACTCATTGTACAATTAATAATGTTCTACCATCGAAATAAAGTCTTTAATTTAACCTATCAAAATGAGATACAGGACAACGGACACTGTAATTACCATATGCTGTTGTCTTTCTAAATTACTCAAATTCAGATTCGTTGTCATTGACGATATCGAAAACGCTATATTGTGGCGATTCACGACCCAATTTGATCGAAAATGGGATTTCATATGATACATTATCATAAGAGCTTAATGCATGCACATAATTAGCGACGATAAAATCCCATGAAATGAGGACCAAGTGATCAAACAGTCGAAGCGCCATTTGTGACAACGGTATCTGACTTTACCGTAGTCAGGCAATTCCGGTGTGCATATGCAGTTTTTAATTCTGATGTGAAAGTATGCATATTGAACATGTTGTCAGGTACAAATATTTATCATATACTCAAATAGATAAATGAATTGGCTACCTACATCAATTTTTTTTTTATTTAGAATTGATTAAATCCTTAACTACTATCATTGGCTTTCAACTACATTAATTATGATAAGCAGTATAGTATATTACAGTTCCATTGGCACTTATGGTGTGACACAGGTCTCTATTTCATTTACCATGTGATCATGTTTTTATTTATTTCAGGGTGTGTGCCAGTTACCCAAGAAGAAAGATGGGACAGAATACTTACATAGAAGAATAGATATCCGGTGAGTTACACATAATAATCTGTAAATACCTATGCATAACCTACATCACCTGTAAATAATCAGCATACTCTTTAATCATCTATATAACCTGTAAACAAGCTATATAATGTATAAATAACAGAGTATCCTGTATAAATGACTAATATAAGCTATAGATTACAGGTTCATCCATCCATCTCTTTGTTCTTATAACTGTCTGGAAGACAAGTCAAATACCAATTGATGGAGTTGATTTATAATTTATAAAGGCAGATATATGGAGGAAGAGATGGATGAAAAACGGTAGAAATTTTGAAATGAGTAGCCACTCAACTTCTAGACTATTATGAGCATTGAATGAGTGTCTGTTCAATTCAAAATTGCCACAATTCTTCAGATTTGGTCCAGATTTGTAAGACTTCTTATGGAAATATAATTTTTCCTCAAGAGAAAAATTCCCAATATGGCTGCTTAATATTCAAAATGGCCACCATTTGCCATGTAAATATTATCTCTGAATTTTCATACTGGTGGACAGATTTGGCTCAAACATATATATGTATACTGTACATTGAACCTCTGCTCAAGAAGGTTTTCGTTAAAAACTTTTTGATAACATATGAGTTATAAAATCTTGTTATAAGGTAGGCCTAATGTTTTATGGACTTCAATTGAGGAAATTTGTATTGTGTATGAATGATTTATTTTTTTGAAGTTATTTCACCATAAAACATCATTATGTTTGCTCTTATTTCCAGACTTATACCCCATGATCAGTATTACTGTGCACTGCTCTATTTCACTGGTAGTGATACATTTAACCGCAATATGAGAGCTCATGCTTTAGACCAGGGCTTCACCATCAATGAGTATACTATCAGACCTATGGGAAGTACAGGTAGGAATAAATATAACTCGTGTCTTAGACTGGGGCTTATTGATGTGCCACGGCTTTGTATAAAAAACCTCCTACCCACGTACCCTCGTACCCACGTACGTTGGTCCTGACCCAGTCTTTAAAGAGTTAAATTTTTAAATGTTTAAAACATTATTCAATCTCAGTTTATCCTGAATTATAGATGAATTTATGCATCCATATGCCTTTATTTATAGGTCTGACATCTCTCTAGTAAAATAAAATAAAGCCGGAATTGCATAAATGTTCATTATTTTTGAGCTATTTGATTTATGTTTTTGATATGTCGAAATGTTTTTTGTTGATCGGGCAGTCTTACCTGTTTAACACATCAGTGCTGATTAGCAATCTCCTATAGCCTTCGTTCAGTGCAATCCGTGCCTCCTGTTACCTCATGCAGATTGTAAATGACCCGGGAAGTTTACCCTTGTCCAAAAGTTGACATCTTTTTAAAAATATATTTCTTAAACTAAATTCACCACATTTTATTAGATGTTTATTTCAAATGTTACTAGAATTCATTCTTACGAATATTATACGTTATTAACGTATGTTAGTCAAAGATTTGGTGTCGTTGTTGTCCATTGTATTCACGTTTTACGCGCAAAAAGCTAGAAACTACAAAGCTGAACTTTTATCATTCAAACCAGTTTTACATCAAATCATTGTCAAAATAAAACTCTACTCTTCATATTACCTAATTATGGATCAAACGGCCATGAATAATGTCGAAGTTTACAAAACCAAACTTACACTCCCCTGCATAAGTTTGGCAACTCTAACTTTTAATTCCATCTAAATGATTCACTGAACTAGTGCGCACAATTATCCTTAAATTGTGCCAAAAAGCGATAAAAAACGAATATAGCGAATCCTTCTACTTTTCAAATATTTCGTTATTTAATTGCGCCACGGTTAAACAGAAATGCAGCCTTTATTATTCCTTGAGATCGTGTGAATTGATCACTCTATCACTTTGTATCTCCAATTCTGATGTTAAATTAAATAAAAGACATAAGACAAATTACACGTCGTCACATGAGAATAACTTTGTACTATCTCACATTTTTACGGAACTGAGCAATCAAGGTTTGAAAGTTTAGAGGGCTGTATCTTACTTAGTATTGCTATGTGAAACTTGATTTTTTGTATGTCACCTGGTCTCACCCTAGAGATATCTTATATGAAATATCATACCTTGAAACAATTTACAAGATCCTTTTTTAAAACTATGGAAATGGAGTTGATACAATTTCCCACCGGAATAACAGCTTATTTCTAATTTCAAATTGTCATATCTGATATCAACTGTTTCAACCAATCAACTCTCTAAGAATTAGTCATGTGACTTGCAAAACTTGGAGTTATAACAATCTTATATTAAAACAAAGTATGCCAATATGCATGTTATTGTATCTAGAATGAAAAATAATGTTTTGCTTTGTAAAAAAATCTTCAAAAACCAAAGAATATTATTTAATAAAATAAAGAAAATTCAATTTATAAAACTTTAAAATCAATTTCTCAAATAAGTACAATTATTTCTTAATTTTGGAATCTCAGGACACCCTTCAAAAAGAATTTATTGCCTTTGAAACTAAGGCAGAAGTACAATGCATTGAAACCAATGATGCCAATACGGTCCCCCACATATTTCCCTCGGTATAAACCCTGTAGCCTAAACCTCCCAACACATTACAATGTAGCCCCTAAGGGCCGGTCCGCTGGTCATTATCAGGTTATTTTTGATACAGACCAGTTGATTTTTTCACTGGGTATAGGAGAATAACATTGTAACTGGTCCGTAATTCCATTTTGACCAGCAGGTTTCAGATCCTTAGGGCCTAAGACATAACCAATTTTTATTACATGCACATGAAAGAAATTTGAAAATAGAAAAATAAATTCTAATTCATTTTAGATTAATGAAAGTGATGAAACCTCGATTTAAGTTATCACATTTTGTTCATTGGGATGCAGCTATCATTATCCATTCATTTTCTGTTGTTTGCTACTCTGTGGAGTACAATTGGGAATTGAAGCAATTGTAGAAGTGGAGACTAAGAGTGGCTCTTTGTAAAGAAATTGAACCAATTTGTTACTTTTCCAAAATAAAATGTAGATGATCTAAAAACAATGATCCCAAAAATGCAAAAGAAAGGACAAATCTGAAAAACATACTAGTAATAAAATAACTAAAAAGATCCCAGATGTTCAGTGAAAAGCGCAAAGTAAATCATAGATGAAGAGAAAATAAAATAAGTGTTTAAAGGGACTATACTAACATAAAGATAACCCCTTATTGATATAGTGTATGGTCAGTAAAAGTTAAAGCTAGTTTAAATAGATTTATGTTTTTTTTTCCACAAACTATAAAACATCATTTTGAAAGAGATTTCAATAGTATACAGACAGTGATTGCCTTTGAGCAATGTAGTGCAAAATATGACAGTTACTATTTGTTTTGATTACTATATCTAGTATATAACCTATTATTATGTACTCTATTTGAAGAAACAAATAAGTAGTCTTTCATTTTCAACATTTAATGATGACAGCTTCGTATATGCATTTCTATTGCATTTGGCCATTCAAACCCCTATAAGACCTGGTAGCAGGGAAGATAAAGGGTACTTTTGACTGCTCACATGATCTAATTAACTGGTCATTTGTACTTTTCATCTTCCCTGGTAGCGAGGATTTAGGTTTTCGAGGAAATTAGTAATTCTATTTCATATCATGTGGCCATGAATAATCCAATGAGCATCCATAATACAAAGAGTAATTGAGGGCATATAATTTGAATATGCATGGGATTACACATACTGTATCATTTTATTTTTTTGATCTACTTGTAATAGTTCTAAAACTAAAACATGAAAGGCCAGGTATGCAAACTGGCATGGTATTGTGTTACAAAACATTATTTCATTCTAGATACAATAACATGCATTTTGGCATACTTCGATTTAATATAAGATTGTTATAACTCCAAGTTTTGTAAGTCACATGACCAATTCTTAGACAGTTGATTGGTTGAAACAGTTGATATCAGATATGACAATTTGAAATTAGAAATAAGCTGTTTGTCTGGAGATGGTACAATTTCACACTGAATTTTAGCTTAATGAGAGGGAATTGAGATGGGGCATGTATCTGAGATGAAAGCCTGTGTTTCAAATAGTAAAATTCCATGTCTATCTCAGTTTTTTTGAAAATGGCAGTTAGTACAAAGTTACTCGAGAGGTTAAGCTAACGATGTTTTTCACAACGTAACCGTGAACGCAAAGTACAAAAATTAACAAAGGAATGTATCGAGCGCTCATAGTTTTATGCGCGCTTAGTCTACTTCAGATACTCTTTCAGCTTCAGAGTTTCGGGTTTAGAACGGGAGATTTGAAATTTGACGTTGGGTCAACGGGAACCATTTTACTCGTGTCTATTGAACACTATGCTGTCAATTTTGATTTCGATGCACAGTTGAATTCTTGCTGAACACGATGATGTATGTCATGCATGATTTAGCGCCAAAAATCTTACGAAACGAGCTCGTTTAAAATGTGTATTAGAAAACCAGCTATAAAACCGCATCAATGACATACTATAGAATCATTACACGCTATGGTGTAGTCTAAACAAACACTGGATTTGAACGGCTATTTATATGAGAAGGCTACATGAATTTGTATATGGTCGAGTGATACGTACAGGTTCAGTTTCGATTATATATGCAAAGCTTAACCTCTCCATTCTCACGCGACGACGTATAGTTCAAATCTGTCGTGCAAACAATGAATACTTGTTATATCGTTTGAAAGAATAAAAAGTATATGTGATAAAAATCGAAACTACAGGGTGTTAAAAAACAGGACCGATGAAAAGTTGAATAACTTCGTCAATCCAGAATCATTCAGGTCATTCAATGTGAATTTTGTTGTGAAAGTTTGACCATATTCTGCTCATGGAGTCAAAAACTACTGCACTTTACAACACATGCCCCATGTGGCCAATTTGCGCTAAGCAATAGATTGGTTGTACACTGTAAGACTGCCCGATCAACAAAAAATCGCTTCGATATATCAAAAACAACACTCAAATAGCTCAAATGAACATTATGCAATGCCGGCTTTATTTTATGACGAGACAGATGTCCGATCTAGAAATAAAGGCATATGGGTACATAAATTCATCCATAATTAAGCATACATTGAGATAGAATAATGTTTAAAAATGTTAAAGATTTAACTCTTTAAAGACTGGGTGAGGACCCACGTACGTGGGTACGAGGGTACGTGGGTAGGAGGTTTTTTATACAAAGCCATGTGCCACGCCCATTCTGAAATGTGGTTTTGGGGAGCCCTAATTAAACCCTTGCTATACACCTATTTCTTGCTCAATCAATGGTTTTGGCAATCTTAAACTGCAGAGGTGTTTACATATAAGATCAATGGGGAGTTGCTATTATCTATTTCCTGTATATGATTACATTTTAATAGGCATGTTATACTTTCAGGTTATGTCACTATGACGTGAAATATGGTTATTAAAGCAATCTAATATCAAAACGAGATATGAGGGCTATATTGGGGTCATCGGGCAATATCGGTTGATATAGCCCCTAACTTTCCCATTGACTTCCATACAAATGCTAGTTATGTAATACTGTATGTTATGCAGCAGATCTTAAAATGCAATCAAGCCATATATCAATGGAAAACAAGGATATGATTATTTATGATTACAATATATATTTCCAGGTGTAGCTGGGGAACCTCTCCCTGTCTCCTCAGAGAAAGATGTCTTTGACTATGTGGATATGAAGTACAAGGAACCTAATGAGAGAAACTTATAACTTTTCCTGACAGTTGTGCTCTCAGATTTTGGCCAGTGACTTAACTTCCCCAGCATACTGGATATACATTAAAGCAAATGGATACACTATTGAATCGAGACACTGAATTTAAGCTTGCACTTAGTTAAAAATGCGTTGTACCCAGATGAGAGTGAGATCATAAGAAATCACAATAGTTTGCCCATTACTTAGTTGTGATTTATAAATAGCTGATATAAAAAAAATACTCTGTAGCCCAAAGGCCAGTAATAACTCCTTCCCTCTGATACGGCCATTATTGGAAGTTTGAATATGAAGCAAAAAAGGCATAGACTCTGGCTGCATTCCTGATTGGCTTAAGAAATGTCTTCAACTTATTTTGATTTCGTAAGGCTAGGTAAAAGGATTGTCTCTAATTTAATTATTTTAAAGTGAAATCCAATTTTTTGGAAGGGTATAAAAAGTTCTGCTAAGAAATGGATTTAATTTTGAGAATCATTTAATGGTAAGATGTTTTTATTAAACCAACTTTGATGATGTACACCTGTATCAAAAACAACAGTTGTATTAACACCCTAAGTGTGTATTTTGGGAAATTGCAATACTTTATGAATATAATTTTGTTGTATTCTAGTACTGAGAGTTATGTAAATGTCAGCATAATAATGTCAGCATCATCCAAGTAAAAAAAAATATACCGTAGTACATGTATATGTTTTATGTACACCTCTAAATGATAACATTTTCTGTGAGAACATTTCTTCATTGACTTCAATGTCAAAAGGTCTATATGATGAGGTGGTATGTTGAATCGTGAAACATTAGAGGCAATATTAGTATAAATGTGCATCTAGAATCAAGATAGTAAAAGACCTGATATTTATGTATGTTTGTTTATGTGTATAGAAATAGAAAAAATATAATAGTATAATAATTTCTTCAGTTAATTCATTGCAGCATGTTGGTTTGTGAACACACTCATTCCCTGAAGGGGGAGCAATACCCAAGATAATTGTTTTAAGTTAATCAGTTTGGTCAGTTTATCAAATGACATCAGTTCAAATTACAGTGAAATATGTACATTGAACACCTTTAGAGCCACAAAAATGTGTCAGTCAGTTGACTTACGTGGTGAGGAAGGTTGTCCATTAGGTGTTCAGTAAAACAGGTTTTACTGTAGTTGAAAATATAGAATTGCATATTGTTCTGTTCCATTGACTATAAACTATTGATTTCACTGGAACATCCTGCAACTTTGACCATGCATGGCATTGACCTCAGTGATGTTAAATTTCTATGGTGGCCACATTACCATCATACATTAAAAATGACAAATAAATAACGTACATGTAGTCTGCAAATACACGACCACTGATCCATTAGTACAATCATGATAAAACATGTCATCTTGAAACAAAAATCAAACATGAAGAAGCATCTGATATCGAAGGGCAAGACCAGGATAAATAAGGCATTAACATGCCAAATGTCACCACCCACCATTTGTTACTGATGCTGAACACTGAACACACAGATATCAGAATCTTTATTAGGAAATACCTCCTAAAGAAAGCTTTAGGAGGTATTTCCCAAGAAAAATTCTGCCATCTGTGACTGAACACCAACCCTCATCCACAAAAAAGTTGAAGACTGTAACACTATGTCACTACTTGTGGAGGTGACATAAAAAGAGAAAGTTCCCTCATTCGCCCCATACCTAACTACACTCATGGTATGACAGTACATCATGACTATCACTAAGATGACTACTATGTTGGCTTAGAAATATAAATAAATAGGATATATAGCCCATATATAGACTCGTAACTGCATGAAAAGGTACCTTGCTACCCAGATAGAAGGTGCTGCCATCTTTTAAAAACATTTTCGCGCATGCGCATTGGTTTGTTTCAAAATGGAAGTTAAAATTCGAAAAAGTTCCTGAACGCCTATATTTTACTAGAAAACAGAACATTCCTAATCTTTGTAAGTGTTATTTCTATATTTTATTAAGGAGGGTGGTGTACATTATAATAATAATGATGTATGAGAACGAATGAGAATGGGGAAAAAGCCGTTTCTATGTCTTGAAATGAAAAATTGAATATTTTCGTTTTGATTTTCCACAAAAATTCCTCATTATTCTTCAAAATCACACCACAGAGAGGCATTGATAGATGGTATTTGCTTTTATAGCTTTCTTTCCACCAAGGGATTCTGGAGCCTGTTGGAAGTTCAATTTCCACCTTTATTCTGCCACCTCTAGCAACAAAAATACAGTTGGGGACAAAAATAAATGACAGGTCGATTTTCGATCACCATTTCTTATGGTGGTCTGAAAGCCCATAATTTCCAATATTGTCTAGATATATATCCCTTAAAATTTGTATATTTTACATTTTGTATAATCTCATCCACTGATGTATGGCCTCTTGTAAATTCTCTTATTTTTAACATGGGAAATCCTCACTTCAACAAATCCACCTGTCATTTATTTATGTCCCCAACTGTACTTGTTGTTTTGCATAAACAACACTGTTTCATTGGCAGTTTGTCTATTGTAGGTCGAAGGAGTGTAACCATTTTGGGGTAAATTCGACATGTGGGGTAACTTCAACACCTTGTTGTTTATTTGCTCTAATTACCGATCTAGGGGAAGCCATGTTTTTTCTCTCGCATTGATCATATCTCGCGAGATATAAATTTTTCCAGAAATCAAACATGGCGGGAAACAGAAATTCTACTTCCAATAAGTAAGTGTCGAAGTTACCCTGTCTCTCATGTCGACATTACCCCACACGTCGGTGTTACAACCCCTAGACTAGTTCAACATCGTTAAACTCAATATTGGCTTTTACTTTTAGGAATTATCTTGGCTGTTATTGAGTTTAACCTCCTTACTATTCTTTCCTTTAAGTCGCAAGTTCTGGATCAATCAAAACCATTTTTCCGCGATAACATGCAACTGATACTTGACAATAATATAAAAACACATAACATCAAGCGATTTAACACAATATTATTGTGTCTCATTGTGTCTGTTCTTCCTGGGTTAAAATTAAACTATTAGCGAAACCAAATTATTGTCAAATAGATTGATAATTATTATCGCGATTACTCGGCATAATAAGACCAATTTTGAGGATAACAGATATCTTTGATTTATATAGCGCGTGTATACATGCAAAATAGTTATTAATTGCAAACCTGCTGTTTGTTAATGCAGTGCCGCAATGACGCTTAATTTCTGGTACGATTTGCAATTTCGATGTTACCAGAACTGACCGACATTTTCGTTAATTCCAAACCTGTCTCCAATATTTTCGTAATTATGCATCAATAGGGTCTTAGGGGGAAATGGGATGGTGTGTATGTATTCATAAGGTATGTATGTATGCTTATGATCAAATTCTTTATGTAATATTACCATGTTTCAGGATTTAATTAGTTCCGCTTGCCGAATACGGGAATACTATTAACTTTATGTGCTTAAATGCCAAAATGACGATGGAAGGCTCTTATGTTGTTGAATTACTTGTAGACTAGCTCTAAAAGTATTGTAGTTCTGCTTAAACAGACAGTAGACAAAATACCTAGAATTTTCAATGCATTAGATTTCAGACCTGGGTTTACTGCTTCTAAAAGTACTTAAAAGTGCAGGTTGGCAATTGCCAAAGATGTGAATTTCAGAATTGTTAATAAATATACAGGGCGTCAAATAAGTGTTCTCCCCCTTAACTTTTTTAATTTAGAAATTACATAGGGTTGGTATATATCATCTTAAAGGGAATTTAATTTGCTGATCACATACCAAATTTCAGAATGATGGGTTAGAGTATTGTTAGTGATGTCCATATTTCACTTTTTTAATAGTCTGTATGTCTCCCCCAGCAGCCCAGATTGCCTCAATTCTACGAAGATATGATCCCGTATAAATCATTCAGAACGTTTAATTTTGGCTGTTATCAACTTTTTTTGTGATGAAAGATGCCCCTGCTTCAAAAGCTCCCCTGAATGTAACTCATTTTACTCTGTAACGATATTGAGAAACATTGAAATCACCCAATGTTGGCATTGTTACTGCAGTATCAAACTTTTACTTTTCATTCACTATACCTTGTAATTTTACTTGTTTTGACGTAATCAAATGTCAACTACAACCTTACAAGAAATATTGTAGCAATTTTATTAGGAGGAGTTTATGATTGATCTTTTGAGGGTGATCAGCATTTTCCACAAGCTTCAAAATGATATATGGGAAAGAATGATCAATTTAAAGATAAAAAAGTTAAGGGGGAGAACAGACTTATTTGACACCCTGTAGAGTGCAGGAATTCTAGTGCAAAGTGTAAAGTGTGGACCTCCCCACTGGCTAAAGAATTAAATACATTTTTAAAATCATAGTTGGTACAAAGCTACTTGCTTAATTGCTTGGTCTACATTTAGTGGTTTGTACAGTCAGTCATTTTAGGCTTTTCAGTTTGATTCATGATTGATTCATTCCATATTTGTTAGATATTTTTTATCAGAGTATTATATTAAATTGTGTAGTATACTTGATAATGTTCTGATTGTAATTTTATGTTTCAGGCAATTACATCATCCCGCTGAAAGGCGACCACATGGACAATCTCATGCCAATATCAATGGAAGATTTAGCAGGCTTCAGTTTTATTCCCCCAAAGATTGGATCCAGTTTTCTATCCAACGTTTGTATTTTCTTATTTGACCTGGCGTGGAAATCGAAAGTTCGCTTACCTGTTATTCTTACTGTGGCATTCATGATTTTGGATACAAGGATTCGATTGGAAGTGAATATGAATATAAACTAAAACTGGAGATGTGACCGTTTAAGAAATGTAAAATTGTAATAACAGCAACCTTCTTATATAACCGATGCTTTTAACACAATATTTATCATCCTGGCTTTGTATGTATACCGCATTTAATAGAAATCTCAAAGTGATTTTGATGTTTTTTTTCAAGTTTGCTTGGCGAGCTAGATTTCGATTGCCATTGATATTGACTGTAACCTCAATGATATCAGATATAAGAGTAAGAATTGAACTCAATATTGGTGGGTAGAATCATTAAATAATTAGTACGAATCATTCTATCTGTGATTAACCAAAAATCAACAAATTAGCAATTGATAAAATTGGAATATAAAGATGGCAGCACGTAATATAGCTGATTTACGGGAGATGATCTGTATGTCAAGATTAACATACGTGGACAGTGATGAAGAATTCAGTGAAGATGATGGTAGATTGTCCAGGACCTTTGATACATTATCTCTCAGCACCAGTGGGACAGACTCTAGACAGAGTTCAGCAAACTCTTATGGGAGGACTTATTCGGCTATGTCCCCTGGGACAGATTCGGGGATAGCCCTGAATGGGTCACCAGAGTTTTCTAGGGGAGAGTCCATGGAATTTGAGCCTACCCCTCCAAAATCTAGAAGTAAGAAAAAGAAGCGAAAGCATAAACATGCATCCAACCATGTAGCTGAAAATATACCCCCAAAGCATGAATTCCCGAGAGCTGATCCTTTACCACCTGTTGGAAGTGGTAGAAATTCTTCCTATTCGCATAGGCCATCTAGTAGTTCAAGTGAAGGCAGTACAAATGAGTTTAAAGGTCATTTCACCGAAGCAATAACTAATCGCTTAAAACAACCAGAGCAAAAACGTGGAGACTTTGAGGAAATGTTATGTTACTGTGACGCCACAGTTGTGGCCAGCTGGTTGGCACAAGCTAATGAAGCAGTGACTAATCTTACAAAGTGGTGTCACTCGCAGGATAATTACGTAAACTTTGCTCACTTTTGGCTCTCCGATTTCCCACCTATACAACGCATAGACATATTCAAATTAGAACATGGTATCTTATTAGACCATTTAGGACTAGCTTTTGCAGTTGGCAAAGAAAGTGGTAAAATCCGTCATTCAGATCTCTCAAAATTCCTGGAGGCGATATATCGGGAATATCCGACTAAATTATTGCGATCTCGTGGTGAACATTTATTCCTGCACTACTTGGATGTGTTGACATCCGAGAGAGAGGACTCGTATAAAAAGCTGTTGTCAGATGTGAAATGTTCAACCAAGAACAAGCAGTATGCTCAGTTGATCTTAGCCATGCGATGCTTCGCTCTAGCAAGTGTGTGGACAGCGATTGTGAACTTCTATCGTACACTGCTTGGCCCAGATTCCACTTCAATACCTGTTCCTTTGTCAACAGTGGCTAAGTCAAATCCTAACAGGACACGCATGAACCAGGCTATCAGGTCAGCGCACCCTTTATTATAATTCAGTTAACTTTTATGTCTGTTCTTACACCAGTATATAGATGGAGGTCTGGATGTCAGAATTCTAATTTCTGTTAAAACTTATGCATAATACTTTGTAACTTAAAATATTCAAGCTTGATTCCTTTATGTTATAAATATGGTTACATTACAGATAGTTCCATATACTTAAGTACATTTACAATATTAAAACAAACAACTTACATTTACACTGTATGCGTAAGTACAATTTAGAATATTTCTTATCTGTTTTCCCTGGACATCTTATGTCAGCATTTTTCGGAGTATTTATACCTTATGTGTTGGATGCTCTTTTACTTCATCTCAACTGATCCCCTTAAGTACATCACCTCCAATCGAATGTAGATCATTCTTGTTGTTTTAGACATGGCTATGTAGATGTGATCCATTATCTGATACGTATGGGCAAGGTTGACCCCCGTGATGTTGACGACCATAGTAGAACTTTGATCTTCACAGCTGTCATGCATAACCAACCAAGAGTATTACAGTTCCTAGTGCAGAAGGTGAGTTCTTTTATATGAAGATAATGAGCTAGTCTTGCATCAAGTTTTTGGTCTCCACATCCCTCTGCCTACCCAGAGATTTTCTGAAACATGGTGATATTTGTCTATACAAACAGAGGACAGGCTTTTGCAGGTGACAGCATAATGAGGATTTGACCATTGGTCCTCAGAATTTTCATAATATACTGAAATGCTATGCATTGTATCTCTGGCATGACATCAAAGAGAAATGAGATTAAATAATATGGTCTGTATACTGGATCACATGGACCATGGTCAGTCAGTTCAATATGGTGACACTAGAACATTATGAATCAATATATCACTTATATTACCATTGAAGCTACTTAATATCCAAATCCAAAGTCCCTGGTAACGTATGAAACTAGTATCTATTGCAAAATCTTTTTGATTCCAGGCCAAACCAAAGATAGATGTGAACAAGATCTCAGATACTGGGAACAGTGCCCTTCATGCTGCTGCAAACAATGGTAATGTTGTCTTGGTAACCACATTACTGAAGGCTCCTGGGATACATGTGGATGTAGTGAACCCCCAGACAGAAAATGCTACACCTTTGCACCTGGCTGTTATGCATGGTAAGAAATTGAGACCTGGGTATTGAATTTTTGCTATTAGCTAGTTCAAAACATTATGATAGGAGCAACAAAATTGGTTCAAGTACATCTATGTGCTACCTTTTCATATTAAAGATATTCACTGACCCATTCATTTTTCTTGAATTTCCATATGAACTTGTCCATCTTATCTCTGCTTTTGGTTTCAGTATCATCACACTGCTTCAAATTTTAACAGAAGAATAATTTACACTCACTGAGAGACTGTTAAATAGATCCATCTGGTTCTGATATATTGGGCAATGGGCATAATTAAGATAGTGTAAAATTGTAATGACAAACAATTATAATGTTGAAATTGGGAGTTTCCATTTACCCCCCCCCCACCTATTGACTTCTAACTTTACTCATTCAAATACTGCTATAGGTCTAATAAATCCATTTTTGGATGGATTTTATAAGTGATCTCCAGCCCTGGCGTAAATATAGTTGAAACTCATGCATTTCAGTCGAAATGTTGAGGCATGCGCAGACCTCTATTTAGTGATATTTTCATTTCAAATATGGCGGCCAATCCGATGTCTGACGACCCTTACAAAGAATCTAGGCAGCTTGCATTTTTACCTCCTGTGAAATAACAAGTGGAATTTAGTAGTTGTTTTGTGTTTTATTATCATTCTGCATCGTAATTCTATGTGATGTGGTGTTGAAATGTCAGCAGAAATGCATATCCATACGATAATCGAGTGAATCAGATAACAGATTTTTCGAAAACCCGTCTCGTGCTAAGCGTGTAAAAACTTGTATTAACATGCTCAAAAGTGCCAATGTGCACATCAATGTCAAGCTAAATCAATGTTGTGTCTAAAACAGGTACCCGATCTACTCAAAACAGCTTGTCATTCACGTATACACGCTTAGCAAACACGGCGAAATGACCTGAATCTTGGAATTTCGTTCAAGAGCTAGTAATGTTTGCTCCGGTCTTCGTCATAATTGTTCAACAGACTTCACGCATGCGCAGGAGAAAAACCATCAACCAATAAGGTTTATAAATCAATTTTGCGCATGCGCCTTACAACGGTAAAGAAATTGGTATTTATAAACGAACCAATTTGAGATAACCCGATATCAGTCGGAGAAATCTGACGATCTACGAAACTCACTTCAAAAAATCAAATGCGGACTGACGGCGTATTCTACTATGTTTGGATCTAAGATTTTCAGTATAGATAAAGTCTTTTATGATCTTTCGAATGAGGTAAGTCTCTAGTTCGAAAGACAATCGTATCAACTTGAACAAAAGTTGAGTTTTGACGAAAAATTTTAACATGCGCAGAAGTCCCATTTTCGTTGTACCATATTGACTGCATTTGCAAAAAATCAAAATAAAAGATTTAAACATTTCTTTTGGCCCACTCTGTATGTGATGCCTTTTAGTGCATCAATGTTGTAGTAATCAATTGTATTTCTTAATACCTCTGTCTACCTACCTGGATTGAAAACAATTTGTTTTGTTCTAATGAGTTCTATGACATGACCTGATCTTGTATTACCTTGTATTGATGAATCGGTGATAATGAAAAAGACATTAATATTGGTTTCTCCTCATCTACTGATATAAAGTTTCACTTTGGTCATTTTCATATCGTCCCCCAGTTTTCCATTTCCCTGGAGTTGCGGAATCTGAAACTAATTGCTGATGAATACTGGTTTCTTCCTGGTTTTCTTTTACTGAAATAATACTAAAATGTTAAACATCGACAGAATACAATAGAGTAAAACCTGTCTTAGTGAACACCTCTCTTTAGTGAACACCTCTCTCTCTATAGTCTACTAGTTGACACCCTTCCTCCAGACATACTCCACTGACTTCTATATAAATTACCCTTTCTGTAGTGAACACCTACCTACACATTTTTTCTTGACAAAGAAATGTTCACTTTTCACAGGTTTTACTGTACATTAAATGGCTGTTGAGAATTATCAGTAAGAGTTTCAATGTTCTCTGGGTTCAATAAACTTTTTTATACTTAAGATACGACAGTAATCCACACATGATTTCATGTAATGCTGTAATGATGAGCTTATCATGTTACTCATACAGTATTGATCTATCTTACTGTATATACATTCTTATCCTATGGTTACAAGGATATGGATCGAACATCAGGTAAAGATATATTTGATATGTGGATCAAGATATCATATTTGGGCAAAAAATCCCCAAACCATCGAATATCTCTTCTCAAACCATCGAATATCACTTGGTTTCAAAAGTGATATTCGATGGTTTCAAAAGTGATATTTGATGGTTTAGATTTTTCAAATTTTTTTTCAGGATTTTTTAAAAAAAAATTCTTGAGAAATTCGTTTTCAAATTTTTTTTCAATTTTTTTTTCAAATTTCCCATGGCATAAACCGACAATCCTATGGTTTTGAAAAAATATCATTTATATTCATGAGTGGATATTGAATCTTCACGAGTGAGCACATTTACCTAGGTTCTGAAATCAATTGGTGTATCTGTATTTAACAAAATGCCAGGACCAGTCCCATTACTTTTGGAACACCTTGTTTATATTTGGAAATATGCCATTTCTAGACAGGATACGAGACTTAAGACAACATACACAAAAAGAAATGATAACATGAACAGAACTTGTTAGTCAAAATCAAGACTACAAGACAATCCTCCCAGATTTCCTCTTCCATATTAAAGAAGTCACATTCAATAGATACTGACACTTTAGATCTTTATATGTAGATAGATGACCAGTAAGTCTATAAGGGGAAACATTAAGCATAAAAATTTATAGTAAAATGGGGTCACAGTCATATATACTTTATTGTACTTTGTTAGGTTTTATAAGGATTTACACATGAACCTTTGATATTTAGTGATTTACCCTTTATAAAATAAAATTGAAAATCTCAAGTCAATTGCATTGACCTATTCTTCAAAATAAGAATAACATAAGAGGTAAGCACACAATAGACTCGCCATTTCCAATCTTGTATTATCAAGGTAGGTGAAATAGTTTACCATGCCCCTCAATTTAAGAGTGCAACCTTGATGAAATGTTTATACTCAGAAGTAAAAAAAAATTGATAAAAACAAACAAAATTTTTATCTAAATCTATACCTATACAGCTGATTTTTAAGATTTGAAGGATTTTCATGGACAAGGCTTAATTTTGCATTTTTATTGCATTCTGGGTAATAATAGAAGAACATCTAGCAATTTTTCCAAATCTGAACATTTTCAGCTTTTTTTAGAGTGAGAGTTTTATTGGCTGATTGAGATAGGCAAAACAGGTTAAGAGCAAATAAAGAGATACTGACCTCAGTGTAAAAGCTGGAGTAAACACCCTGCATTAATGTATGGATTAGTCTTAATAAATTCATTCAGTTGATTAAGTAGGGTGAACTAGTACTATGAGCGACAAAGATTTAATTTATCGCTTACAACATGATTGAGTTCTTAAAGGATTAAACTGGAAAAATTGGAACTGAGGTCTCCATTTTGGCTCATTGCCAGGACGGAAGAGTGATTTGAAAGATATTAGTAAGACTTAATCCTTTAAGTCGCCTCCCTGGATGAGAATGCTGAAACTCTTGCTGAAAACCATTATGATTACACATCATTTATACACACAGTATTAATGAACTGCTATCTTGTCACAGTTTTTCAATGTTAGCTGCATTCCTGGTTGCTTTATCTTTTTTAAGTCCACTATTTTTGTTAGTCTTATGGGTTTTAATGCATATCTACCATGATATTTCATTTTGGAGTTTTCCCCTGATTTGTAAACTTCTGGACTTAGAACACGAGTTTGCACTGAATCACTTCCGCCTTGATTCTCCAAACATTAAAAAATATGATGTATTTATTAATCGGATGTAAAAGAAATGGGTCAACATACAGTACATTGTTTACATCCTTGAATAAGAAGGATAAGAATCAGATCAAGAGTATCTAGTTAATATTGGAGACCCTCTCTCAAACTAAACTTGGAGAAATACGAGATGAATACAAAAACGCTGCAATATCTTCAGTAAATTTTCTTGCTTCCTACCTGGCATTGAACTATTGAATAAACTGACATTACATAAACTGACATAAAGGTATCTTAAATTGACATTGAACTATTGAATAAACTGACATTACCTGAGCGTTTCTAATTTTATAAAGGTATCTTAGATTGACATCGAACTAATTGAGCATTCTAACCCTTACAATCATTGATATCACCTTGAATGTTTCAAATATTATATGAGTACATTATATTGCAGGACATATAAATGTAGTGGAGGTATTACTATGTGCCAAGGCTGACAGACTGGCCAAGATGGGGGATCTCACTGCCATAGACATTGCGCGAGACTTTGGACAGGAGGAAGTCCTTCAGCTTCTTGAGAGTGATGAGTATTAACACTACAACAACTGATAACATAACAACAATTGTCAGATGGATGAATAATATTACAACAACTGTCTCCATTAGTGAATTGCTCCATTATATACAGTAATCGTGTTAATGCTGGACATTTTGAATGAAGTGGATTACTGAAGAGTGAGTGAAAACTAAATTACAAAATCATACTGATTATAACAATCATTCCATCTGTCTCAATATTTAAACTTTGTACATGGGGATGGCTGACTAGTGGAACATCCATGGATGTATTACGAAGTATTAACATTTAAAGTATGACCAGTCAATTAATTCAGAGGTTTGCAAGATACAATCTCAGTTTCCTATTACTAAACAGTTTGGGGTATTGGTGAAATTGTAAATTGGTTTAATGGGCAGTTTGGTTTAATTTAAGTCATAACTAGCTTACTGTTAAATCAGAGTGGCAGCAAAGACTATAGAGAGTGTAAAATGACTTAAGATGCAGAAGTGCTCTTTCTAATAGAATTTCAATTTTTGCCAGATAACATGAGAAGGGAAATCCTGAACTTAAGTTGATAGCAAAAATATTATGAAATTATCACAAGATTTTAATTTAGTCTCTATTTATCTGTCTTAGTAGCACCTTTAAACTGGTGAAAAATTGTGATTGATCTCTGTTTTGAAGGAGGTTTCTCTCAAATTGTGTGAGTGTGCTTTTTAAATGATACTTTTGGAAATATTTAATTTTTCACCCCAGATATGCTAAATGTGCACAAGAATAATTAACAATTCATAGCATTGCTATTTTGTATAACTGTATTGCATAATTGTCCGAATTGCCATTGTCACGTAGAGTGACTATTAAAGCTTAATGTAACAAACTGTTAACCCTGGTATTTTGAATGTATTACAATGTTTTGAATATGGCTATTTTAGTTTATTTCATATTTTTATTTATTTGACACACAAGTCTCAAATTGGAGAAGACCAACTATTAATTTAATTTGTTACAAGATCTTACATGTAGGCTATTGTTTTGTTTTTTTACTAAATTCAACATGAATTTTCATTGAATTGATGTTTTTACAATGAATGATTTTATCATTTTATTGATTTCTATAACAGAAAATCCTCTGATCTAGACTTAATTGAGATTAAATAAACCTGTTCTTAAAAAATTAAGTTTTGTGAAGAATTTTGGTCAAGAAAATAGGAAATAACATAAAAATAAAAGATTGCTTCGATGCTTCAAGTAAAAATTATGAAATTATGTATACATTTACATAAATGGCAACTTTATTGTATATGAGTGATTTATATATACCTGCTGCATTGTAAATAAAATAATTTATGATGATATGACAAAAAGTGCATTTTGTGTTTGATAACTGTATTGGAGTGTTCCATGATGATATGTATTTGTTCACATCTGTGTAGCCTCAGGTTTTGGGAAAAGTAGAAGTTAGCTAGTAGTCTATAGAAGGAGAATAATCTATATTACAATATACATTTTGTAATAGTATATACTAGCTTATTTCCACTTTTCTTGTAGGCCTATGTGTGTAGCCATTCCTCCGTAAAAATTATTCTGTCCTAGGTGTTTAGATCAAATGAATACAAACCATTTCCTCTGAACATACGATTTGATGATCAATTACATCCTCTCAGTCATTGTCAGTTAAGTGCAATTGAAGCTTACATGCCTTTGGAAATTGCTCAAGTTAATCCTCCATGTTGTCGTGAGATAGTCAGTTTGTAGAGTTCTTTCTTGGAATTGTCCCAAGAATAATATTGGACAGCCAATCAGAAAGCAAGTCTATGAGCCCACTAGCTAATTATGTGAGGAATACTAAATTATGTAGTTTTTGTTGTAACTTGTACATTTGTACTTTATGTGGAGTCATATTAGATGTGAAGAGAAAAGAGTAAGGATGCGCAATATTATCTCTCAGATTGTCAATAAGTATTTATTGAGTATAGAAATAACAGAAACTGAATGCACAAAGGGCATCATTTGTATATCAAATATGAAAAATATATTTTAATCTGTCAGTAATGATAAGAAAATTATAATACGAAATAATATCAACACACATGCAACTTTGGGAAAGTGTATGATTGAAATAATTTTAAAATTCAATAAATAAATAAATTAAAATCTAAATGACTCATGGCATATTTTAGGAGGTATCATAATGCAATTAACTCAGGCAGCTACCATTATTCTGTGGAGTACTTTTCTGGTTATTGAAGTAGGAGGGGTAAGAGATGATAAAGAGAGCGAGTCGTCCATTGAAAAACGATCTTTACAGGATGTCCTTCGAAGCAGATCGGTAAGCAAAATTTGGCCTTAATTGATTCGTCTACATATTAAATACTTCATTTTGGTTTAAGCTTGCATATAAAATCGAAACGCCAACTTATACGTATGACCAATCGCCCATACAAATACACAGCTTAAATATTTTCCGTTCACATCTAGGTTGTGAAAAACATTGCAAGCTTAAACTCCCTATTGTTAATTTTAAACTGTCAAAAGTACATGTAGGCGAGATTGCGATTGTGTTGTACGAACTGGATTGTCCTATATACCTTTATAGGTTTTATTATTCACTTAGAAAATCAATACCGGTTTTTAACTTCTGGTTCATATAAGGAATTTCCAAGCTTGTGCCATACTTAGGCCTACGTGTATCTAGCTTTTCATGGTGCATGGTCTGCGGCACACATTGCATTTTTGTAACTTAAACTGCGAAATGTGTAAAAGAAATTTTTTTTTGAAAAATTAGCATAATTACGAGTCGGAGAGTTAAGCTCATTTTGAAGAATGAGAATTTATTTAGCTAATTTCTTTGACTATTTGAAGAAAAAATGTACGCTGTGCCATACAATTTTAGACCCAAAATCCCAAGATCATAAAGACATTAATCAAAGACTCTTGGGACAGCCCTTATATAATTAGAAATTTCGTTACATGCAATTTAAAACTTTTTCGACCATTTGGCGAAGATGGTCTGACCAATAAAAAGAGGTTCATCCATATACGATGGGTGCTTTCACCTCTTGCATGCATCTTATTAATAAACATGCTAATGTGTAGGTAAAATTATGGGACTTCATAAAATAAATTAAAACTTGCGTACTTTTTAGAAAATATGTCTAAACATAGCATATTTTGAGACAAAATTCCAGGTAACCTTGTTGCTTTTCTCCATTCTTTGTTTCAAAATTGTACATAATCTATTAACATTTTACAATCGCAGCAGTCTAACCACAATTCCCGTACAAGACAAACAGAAGATGTACCAGTCCCACAATGCCACGTTGAGGTGGAAGAAGTAATGTATTTCTACATTTATTTTAATGCTAGAGTCAGAGATAGGGACATTAAAAGTGATATATTTTATAGTTATAAAACGATCTTAATTCAATTTAGACTTCACAACGCTTAACTACATGTATACTACACATTTAAGACTACACTACACTTCTCTGCACTAGGCTACACTTTACTATACTTAACTGAACTGATCTATTGCTCAATCTCGTTTTTTTGTCATTTGGCAGGTGCGACTCATTCCAGGTCGATGCACTGCTATATTATACTACACTAAACTGCACTACACTACACTACACTTTGCACTTATCTATTGAACAGTCTCGTTTTTTTGTTATTTGGCAGGTGCGACCCATTCCAGGTCGATGTACTACTATAATATACTATACTACACTAAACTGCACTACACTACACTACACTACACTGTGTACTCATCTATTGCTCGGTCTCATTTTTTTTTGTTATTTGGCAGGTGCAACCCATTCCAGGTCGATGTACTACTATAATATACTACACTAAACTGCACTACACTACACTACACTACACTACGTACTCATCTATTGCTCGGTCTCATTTTTCTTTGTTATTTGGCAGGTGCAACCCATTCCAGGTCGATGTACTACTATAATATACTACACTAAACTGCACTACACTACACTGTGTACTCATCTATTGCTTAGTCTCGTTTTTGTTATTTGGCAGGTGCGACGCATACCAGGTCGATGTACCCAGCTTGGAAGACGGCGAATTCCAGCATGTGTGGCTGGAGGCTACCTCTATATAAACAATGGGGACTGTATCAGTTCTCAATAAGACCTCAGCAAACTTTAGTGACTGATTCGTGACTGATTCGATCATTCGACAATATTATTACTTTTTACTAAAAATTAAACTGAATCAAATAAATGTGATGCAAATTATGATATGATATTATGACGATTCGCTGTTTGCTGTAGAATTGAATGAGTCAGAACGAAAATGGGCCCCTAACAGTTGAGCATACACTACAGGGTGTCCCAAAGTAAAGGACTTGTTCTGAAATTTTGTTAATTCTGCACCAATTATGATCAAATCTTCCAAAAATACTTTCACGTATTGGGGCTAGAAATGCAGAGTTTGAAACTTATGGTATCTTTGTTGATGTCAATCCCATCCCTCCCCTCTCTCGATTTTTTCAAGAATATTTTTTTGCCAAATCTTTTTGCGACTCCGTTATTTTTTTAGCTTGAACCAAAGATATCAGACACTTTTTGGCGTAAAAACCAAGGTGCTTAGGGGTAGAGGGGCAAAGTTATGATAGTTTGAACTTGATGCCAATAAAATTGAAATTCATAAAATATTGATTGTTACTTTGTTTCCAATTCTCTAGAAAATACAAAACGATGATTATTGCTTTGTTTAATAAATAATAATTTAGCATATTGATTTGTCAATTTATTCTCCCCTACCCCCAGTTTCACTATTTCAATGTTTGTGCCTTTGCTAGGAGGTTGCAAGGCAACATCATGGACCGAAATCATATTGAAACAACACCAAGTCATACATTCCTACATCTGCATACTAAATCACCGAATGGCATCTGTTGTACATCTTGAAATAAAATGCTAAATCCAAATACACATTGAACTTGAAATTGCAGACTGCTCAATTTCACGTTATTGATTTCAATGAGATTTCGCCTTACCTGCTATCTTTGAAAGTTCTCGAAAAGTTTTTACCATGATTTTAGTTTTATTTGAAAGATAGATTATTCTTTAAGGCACGAAGCATTTTTTGGCACAAAAAATTATTGTGAAAGAAAATTGAAAACTTTCCTAGGTCACGTTGACCTTGACTTGACCTATTTTTTAAAGAAAATTAAACTTTTCTGAAGAGGTAATTGAATTATGTTTACAACAATACCAACAATAATAAATCAGGCAAGAAATAAAAATTGTAGGGGGAGGGTCCAATTGACCCCCTCCTTGCGACTTAGTGTTACAAAAAGGTTGCAGCTTTGTGCTTTGAAAATATTCCTTCAAAAACACTGTTCCACAACTAGTATTGTATTGTATATTTGTTGCTTCATTTATATGAGAGAATACATTTTAGTACAAATATAGTTTACATATAAATATAGGTTATATTTCATGCTTGATTTTTTAAATTCATATTGAAAATCAAGCATGAAATAACCTTTTTATTCCATAATTTTTTGAAAAAATGAAAATGTTTGAAAAAAATGAAATGTTTTGAAAAAATGAAAATGTTTGAAAAAATGATTCGAAAATGAAAATTTTTGAAATGAATGAAAATCTTTGAAAAATTGCAATTTTTTGAAAAAAATAGAATTCTGAAAAAAATGGAAAAAATGATTTTTTTGAAAAAATAATAGGGACAATATGATTTTTCGAGTATATATGATTTTTTTTCCGGGGACAATATGATTTTTCGAATATATATGATTTTTTTTCCAGGGACAATATGATTTTTCGAGTATATATGATTTTAAGAGGGATAATATGATTTTATTTCCCAGGGAAAACAGTAGTATTATGGAATAAAATATAATATACAAGGATAAGATTAAATTATGTGATAAAAAGTTGTTGTTTTGGAAAACATAGAAATAAAGAGATAGAGAAGTGATAGTTACTTTGGCGGAACGTCAATGTAACAAAATGGATGAACTTCCTGGATACGAGTTTTTTGTTTTCACAATTTAAACTTGCGTACTTGAAAGTCATGTTGCAAATTATCATTTGACACAAAGTTAGACAATACTGTATAGGCCTAGTCTAGCTTTTAGAAATGCTCTTGGTTTGTAATTTGATTTCAAAATAAAGGTGCGATTCATGCATTAAGACCATAGCTTTTGTACATTATTTTGTATACAATATAATGGACATAAGTCAATGTAACAAAAGCGAGGGGCTAAATACATGAATTGCAACTTCATTAACAAAGCAAATACCAAATTGAAGAAACTTAATAAAACTAGACTATATTTTCTAGCTTTGTGCCGAATTATAATCTGCAGCTTGACTTTAGGCCAGATCGATTTTATTGTGTTTACACTATTATCACTCACTAATATAAAACAATTTTCTATTGTTGTCTGAATGGAATAAAGTGTAAAATGCATTTTAATCGCCAAATTGACTTCAATTTTTTATACACCTGGCTTATTTTTCGTTCGAATGAAGACTGTTAAACTGATTCACCTATGAAATTCACCAATTTCACAGGTTTATATAATAGAGGTTGATACGCAGCTTGCCGATGACAAAGATCCTAGTAATTGAAAATCTCATCTAAATATGACATCAGGTAAGTGCAATTACTGTACATCCAATTTAGTTTACATAGCTCAAGAATTCCAAGAATAATGAATTTTAAACTTGTGAAATTCGCGAAATTTAATAGCCGCGAAATTGTGTTTTCAACGAATTTATGAAATTAAAACTCACGAAATTAATAGTACAGTATGTAAAAGTCTTGGATGTTGTCCCAGAAGCAATATTTTGTTATTTTCATCATGTTTATCGCATAGAATTCCTTTAATTTATTGAGAATGTTGTATTCATGTGACTTTCTTAAAACCATTTGACACACTACACCTGATCTTTTTAGGTGCCTTTAAAAACTTATGGATATATCTAGGCAAAGACAAGACTTTACTAAAAAGTTCATCTGTTCATACTTTCATATTTTACTCCTTATTTGTAGATGTGCAAACATTTACAATAGCATTCTTAAACATTTCATTGTCATGAACATCTTGGATTCCTGCCAATAATTTGACAATGTTTCCACCAGTTGAATAGTTCAACAGAATTAACACATCCTGAGCCTCTTGCATCAACATTTGTTTAACTGTTAAACTTGTTAAAGAATCATCTGTAGATATATCAACCATAAACTTCAGGAGGCATTTCAGAATGTCATCTGAGTGATGTGGAATCCTTGGCCAGGCATATTTGATTGTCAAGTTCAGTGCTTTTAGAATGTTGATTCTGGATGTTTCTTCTGGGCCATCGTATATTTCTAAATAGTTCGCAACTATTGGAAGCAGCCGTTTAAGGAAGCGGATAATGGACAGTTTCATCTGTTCTATGTATTGGATAAGGATCCCTGAGTAAAATCGTCTAACTTTTATTTTGTCATCAATTTCCATATTTGTCAAAATTATCTTTAGAATGCTGTCATAACGGGTAACATTTAGTGTTTTTTCCATCTTTGATCTATCAAGAATTTCAATAATGCTCAAAATACAGGCATGCACATTTTTGAGAAGTTTCTGATCATTAGTGTACAGTTGGCTTTCCAGAGCTGAGAAGAGAACATCTGCCCTCCCATGCCTTAACAACTGTGTAGGGGCTACATTGTTTACTATGTGCTGTATACACTTTATTCCTGATATTTTGTTTTTTGGGAGATAGTCATCGATGAGAAGTAATGCAGGTGGAAGTACATGGTCAATAAATTCACCAAGATGTGGATGACTCATTTTGAATAAGCACCATCTATAGCAATGCAAGGCCATCGGATTTCGTTTCCAACATTCCTTACTAAGGGCTGGTTGAAGCTGTTTTAAGACAGTCGCAATTAATCCATCAGGGAAAAGAGTATTTTCTGTTCCACTTAATAATTCCAGTAAGTCATTTGCATCACAGAGATCAATTATGTGATCTATAAGACATGTTGCCGATTTATGCATTTCTTCATTCCACCATAAACTTGGAGTGCAGCAACTAGAAGCTAAAATAAAGGCTGATGGTGCAAGAGATTTCACGAGTGGCTCTTTATAGAGTTGTTTAACTTCCTTTTCCATAGTCAATAACATTTTAAAATAATCAGTCAACAGATTTAACAATTTTTCAGAGAATGCGCTGATATCAATGAAGTCCGATCTTTCCAATGGGACATCCTCTTCATTGTGTGACAATGTGTGTATGCTTTTCTTCAAAAGTAGTTTGAAGATCGAACAATATTTTTCAATGATGTCAACTGCAGATTTTGACTTTGGGAAAATAAAGTATGCATCAGATGTGTGTAGAAACTCATTCAAAATGTCCACAGATTTCTGATTACAATTATTTTGATCAATAAGTTCCTTTATTTTGGATAATATTATCTGCAGATTGTCTGGCGAATTCATTAGATCAAGATCAACCTTTGAATTCAATTTGTTGGAACCCGAATTCAATTGAATCAGTTTCTCCAAAGAGTTTTCACTTTTTGCCATATCAATTTGATCTCTAGAGCACTCCTTAATGTCAGTGTTTATATTCCTTGTGCAATAATTGTTTCAATCACAGAGATTACACTCACAATGACTAAAATTATTCAGATTTTGAAATAAAGTTCCTGACCATGGTGGCTGCCATTTTGCTATACACCGAACGAAACACACAACTAACGAAATTTGATTTTCCCGGGAACAGAAAGTATTCATACATACTTTACTTGGTACTTTTGAATCATTTTAAATCTGTATAAATAAAGTGTATTTGATTTCAAATGAGCATTTTAACAGTGAAATAAAATCTAGAATTCATGAAAATGATTAAATGTGAGCAAATATGAGCTTATAGTAGACAAAGACAAGGGATTTCGAGTGAGTATAACTTCGGCCTCTTATGATGATACGCGATTGTACGTTTTTCAGAAAAATTTGTTGGGCCAGGGTGCATGTTCGGAATTTTTCTGTATCAAACAACCAGATAGCCACTGAGATAACCAGATAGCAGACTCTGAGACTATTTTCAGTCATTTTTTACAGAGTGATCCAAACAGATTGTACTCAGTCAAATCTCATTTGGTTTGAACATTTATAAATGTTAAGAAATCGGAAGCACGCCAAAACGTCCATAGTTAGCCGCCCTATATAACCAATGGAAAGAGAATAATCTCTTAATCGCCAACGAATGGACACTATTTCAACACTGTTTAAAACATGCAGATTTGTCAGTTCTCTAGTCAGTCGCTGGGAGCATGACTGAATGTTCCTCTTAACTGAGTTGAAAGCGAATCGCAGAACGTCCGTGGCTTCGATATTATTAATCACCGTGTATACAGCAAGGGAAAGATCAATACCCGGTGATTTCAGCGGGAAGTGGCGTTTCGTTCATTGGATGAGCTGCGCGCGCACGCATAAATGTGATTATCCAATATAATTAGGCTATAAGCACAGTGACCTACAGAGGGCGCTATCACAAACAAGTACTGGACGAACCGATAAATTCCCGGGTATTGTAACGCCCTTGTATACAGCAGGCAACACCCTTTGAACAAAATCATTATAAGTCCGAACGTAATTTTGTTCGCTTTTTCAAAAGTTTGTACGCATCCTGACATAGGGTTCGCATCAGCAGAGCTGCTTCCTGGTTGAGAGAAAACTAAACTCCTGGATAAACTGTGATAACAATATATCTGTTTTAAGGTAATGTAATAGCATTTTACAATGTATGCTTTACGTACACGATGGATCTACTTTTATCAAAATCGATCAAAGATATAGGCCTAGATCTAAAATTGTTTTCAGAACTTTTAAAGAGACAATGGTCAGGCTACAGGTTGCCCCTGTTCTTCCAGGTGGGTCACTGTAACAAGGGTGAAACAAAAAGCAGAATATTGAAAAGTGTATATAATGTAAGGATAGAAAGAAATGAAAACTAATATATTTTGATAATGTTGTAATGTATCCTTATAAACACAAAGTCAAACTGAACTTTTTTAAACACAAAGAAAACATTGTTTATGTAGAAAAACACTAAACACATTTTTATTCACTTTTTAAGAGTCATACTTTAATACTATATCTAGTACTCTGACTATGTTGCTCGTGACACGAGTCGCGTATTTGTCTTTGGCGTATCTATAACTGTATATAAGTCAAACACACCAACTCACTGAAATTTTGTTCATAGCAGAAAATTATAATAGTGGAGACATATTAGAAACCGAGGATAAGAACTATAACATTATGAGGGGCGTAGCAAGCTTTCAGTAAGGGGGGGGGGTGGATCGCCTAAAAATTCGGCTTTCAGTTGGGGGGGGGGGGGTGAGATTGTGACATAAACAAGCCAGAAAATTAAGATTCACCTTGAATTTTACAAAAATTGATGCAACTTCCTTCAAAATTTAGCTAGAAGCTTTAGATAAAAAGCATTTTTATTGGTTATGGGGGGGGGGGGAGATCGCACCCCCCTATGATTATGCACCATTTTCATTTGCCAACAGGACACACAGTACATTAATTAGTCCGAAGAACACCCTATCAGTAAAGACTGGAGTTGAGTTTTACTAGGTTTTACTGTCTAGTACTTTTACTTTTATTCTCTTCCAGTTAAGAACATTACAAAGAGAAATGAGTGAATTAGAAGAAATGTTAAAGGTTGTTCCTATGAAAGTCAGATATGAAGCCGCCATGGTTCTCAGTGGAGTAGGCGATGCATTGGGCTACAAGAATGGAGCCTGGGAGTTCTGCGATAATGGAAAAACTATACATGAAGAATTGAAGAACTTAGGAGGAGTTGAAAATATTGAAATAAAGTGTGTGTACACTGTAGTTAAACACTTACAGTAAAAATTGACAGGGAATCTAGGCTGCTAGATGGTAAAATATCAAGTATACTAAACGTTGCTTGCTATGTCACACCAAATTATTGCAATTTGTAAAATGCCTTTATAGCCATACCATATTTTGCTTTTACCCAATTGTTTCATTTTGTCTTACAGTACCCAATTGGAGAGTCAGTGATGACACAGTCATGCACCTTGCAACTGCTGAAGGTATACACATTCTGAAAACATTTACGAGTCTAAGAGTATTTTAAAGGCTATCCCATGCATATATTGGCCAATAACCATGGTATTATTTAATGTTACCCTTAAGAAAAAAGCCATGGTAACCATGGTATTCCATGGTGCGTCCATGGTAATCCATGGTTTTCCATGGAAATTCATGGTTTTTCATGGTATTTTCCATGGAAATTCATGGATACCCATGGTAATCTTCCATGGATATTTACCATGATTTTCCGTGGTAATTGGTGGTTTGGTAATTGTTTTTCAGGCCTGAAATACAACCATGTTTTTACAATCTGAATATATGTTTTGTACATTCTGTACATAGTGTCATATGACAAAGAACTGTTTACTTAATATTTTTTTAATTGATGATTTGACCCCACAATTAAAAGTAATAATTTGTTTGCTGGGATTTGCTATCATTTAACTTTGGCACTTATGTAAAAAAGACAAAATAAGTGATAAAATCAGCTCACTGGATTCCCTTATTGCAGACTGAATAAACATTTTTACTTGGAGTAAATCCTATTTGGTTTTATTTGATCAACAATGAGTTTTTGACTTGCACTGTCTACACTCACAGACAATAATAATTACTGAAGAGGGAGCATTAGAAAGAGTAAGATTATCATATATAATAACAATTAAGATCAGAATATTTAAGAATTATGCAAATGAACTCTTATAATCTGTTGTAAAGAGATTAATCTTTTGACATTAATTTGAGAGTTAAGACACCTAATTAACATAGAATAATGGCAACCAAATATTTAAAAATTATGCAAATGATTATTTATTCCTATTCAAAGACGAATCAATTTTAATTACTTATACTATGTTTCATGTTTTAAGCCAAATGGTGTTGTTAACCCCCTCCCCTTCCTTCATGCAACTTCTTTTTAAATATAATATTCTTACATAGACAAATTGAATTTTTATCACTTAAGTATAACATTTCAGTTTGCAGCCATAGGCTTGTGTTTAATCCCCCATCTCAATTTCAAGTCAAAATTCTGTAAAAGTATATACTTTTCTGTGGATTTTTTCAGATAATATGCTTATAAAAGTTGAATGGGACTTAATTTGGAGAAGTTCATTTAGAAACATAATGTATTATTCATTTTTCTGCTTCCAAAAGACCAAACAAATAGCCCATGGAAAACCATGGACTTTCAAAAGATCAAAAGAATAATCATGGAAAACCATGGCTTTTGATTGCACTTTCCAAAACATCAAAGAAAGAACCATGGAAAAGCATGGCTTTCGATTGCAATCAACCGTCTTCCATGGCTTTTGATTGCAGTTTTCTCAACTTCAAAGAAAGAAACCATGGTTTTTGATTGTATTCTCAAATGTACGAAATGTAATTTAAGAAAATGAGTTATTTATTTCTTAAATTACTTCATATTGATTTTTAAAACTGAAAATTAAAGAAAGTATTGAAATAAAACAGAGCTTGGGCTAGTTTGACTCAATCTTTTTCAAAGGAAAGAAGTGTTTGGCCTAAAAAATAAACAATCTCTATCAAAGTCTTGATCTACACAAAAGACCTTTGCACAATTGTTTTTGAAATCTTGTGGCCTACTCTCTGCTCTGCTGTTTCACATATTTTCTCATTTGTAAGCTGAGTCTAACATTCGATGAATGTTCTTGCTATACCTTCAAAATAAAATGTCCACCCTTTTTTCTCAATGATAAGTCTCAGTCTAACTGGGATATATTAACAAAACATTCATTTTCGAGATTTTGGTAAATACAAATCCTACCAAAATTGTTGATTTTACATCTCCATGACACATCCATTAAAAACCAATTACCAAACCAACAATTACCACGGAAAATCATGGTAAATATCCATGGAAGATTACCATGGGCGTCCATGAATTTCCATGGAAAATAACATGGAAAACCATGAATTTCCATGGAAAACCATGGATTACCATGGGCGCACCATGGAATACCATGGTTACCATGGCTTTTTTCTTAAGGGAACAGATGAGAAAATAGCACAATATATAGATACAATAAATCAATAATGAATTTTAACACATACACTGTAATCCAATATACAACTCGACAAATACAAAGATAAGTGTCTAAAGCAAGGTGAAATTTGCACAGAGAGAACCAGAATATAGGTGCAAAGGCCAAACCCCACATACTGCTTAAGTGGGTAGAGCCAAGTCAAAAATATTTCCTTTGTGCTAAAGGGTAAAATTTGTGTTTATTATACCTGATTAGTAAAAACGTGTTTTTATATTTTTAGCTTTGATTCAACATGGAACTGGAAAAGATGCTGGCTCATTACATGCTGCTCTTGCCAACAAATACATTGAGTGCATGAATGACATGAGTGGCAGAGCACCGGGTAATATTTTAACTAAAGAGAAAACACTCTTTGACAAACTCATGGTTTAATTTTTTTAAAACCTTGTCAAACATGGTACTTCACCTCACTGAAATGATGTTCTTTAAGGTTTTAAAAACCTCGTCAAACATTGTACTTCACCTCATTGAAATAATGTTCTTAAAGGTTTTGAAAACCTCGTCAAAAATTGTACTTCACCTCACTGAAATGATGATGTTCTTTAAGATTTTTCTAAAACCTTGTCAAACATTGTACTTCACCTCACTGAAATGATGATGTTCTTTAAGATTTTTTAAAAACCTTGTCAAACATTGTACTTCACCTCACTGAAATGATGATGTTCTTTAAGATTTTTTAAAAACCTTATCAAACATTGTACTTCACCTCACTGAAATGATGATGTTCTTTAAGATTTTTAAAAACCTTGTCAAACATTGTACTTCACCTCACTGAAATGATGATGTTCTTTAAGATTTTTTAAAAACCTTGTCAAACATTGTACTTCACCTCACTGAAATGATGATGTTCGTTAAGGTTTTTAAAAAACCTTGTCAAACATGTTACTTCACCTTGATGAAATGATGATGTTCTTTAAGATTTTAAAAAACCTTGTCAAATATTGTGCTTCACCTCACTGAAATGATGATGTTCGTTAAGGTTTTTAAAAAACCTTGTCAAACATGGTACTTCACTTCGATGAAATGATGATGTTCTTTAAGACTTTTTAAAAACCTTGCCAAACATTGTATTCACTTCACTGAAATGATGATGTTCTTTAAAATTTTTTAAAAACCTTGCCAAACATTGTACTTCACCTCACTGAAATGATGATGTTCTTTAAGATTTTTTAAAAACCTTGTCAAACATTGTACGTCACCTCACTGAAATGATGATGTTCTTTAAGATTTTTTTAAAAACCTTGTCAACATTGTACTTCCCTCACTGAAATGATGACGTTCTTCATCGCACATATATCAGCTAATGAGATGTCCCATTCTAGGAGACACATGTATGGCATATGTAGGTATACTTCGCCCACTTGAAAAGGATGGTTTGAATATACCCTTCAACCCTCGGTTAGTGCCATTTATGTTATAAAAATACTAGTCTCCGATTAATAGAAAGTTAAAAAAAAATTCCATTCTATACTACTAGGAGCCACATGTCGGTCACATGTAGATCTACTTCGACCACTTGAAAAGAATGGTCTGAACTTACCCTTTAATCCTCGGTTAGTGCCATTTCAGTTGTAAAAACTACTAGTCTATAATTAATAGCAAGTTAAAATATATTTCACATCTGCATTAGATAAGCAGAGAGGCTTTATTTCGTTGGTCTTTATAAATGTTAACATTTGGTACATTATATGCAACAATTGTCAAAACAACTATTCTCTGTTGTTTTATATAATAGGGGAGGTGGATGTGGTGCCTCTATGCGAGCCATGTGTATAGGATTGCGCTATCCGAAGTGAGTGATTTGAACTGCTTTGATCATGTATGCAAAGTGCTAAAGGAAAAGGATCAAAAATTATAAAAAAAACACCCACGAGTACTACAGTCATAAAGAAAACAAACCAAATTCATGATCTTACGTGAAAAATGTCCAATAACCCCCTCCCCCACCATTCAAGTACCATTATCACAATCCAAAACCACGATATCAAGCTAAGGGAGATTTCATTAATACAGGAGTCACTACAATACACGTTGAAGAATAAATTTAAATTGATATAACCTATACTCATCAAAAATAGTTGTATATGTACTAGCATTCAATCAATATAGAGTTTTCAGTCTCACATGAATGAGGGACGGACAAAATCCATTCTCAAAATTTATAAACGTATCAAAGGGTCAACATTTATCCGCAAACCCGATGCCATAATCACAATGGTCATCAAGAGAAAACTATAGCAGGCTACAGGGGCGGATCTGGGAACCAATAAGGGGGGGGGGGCAAGTTTCAGGTCAGAGAAAAAAATTTTTGGCCCCTAAAACCCAAAAGTGGGCCCAAATTTTGAAATTTTGAGGCCCATTTTCCTTCAAAATTTGGCCTGAAATTAAAAAATAAGGCCTTAAAAGGCCCAGTAATGATCAAAGAGGCCCACTTTTTGGGGCCTTAAGGCCTTTTTTGGCCCAAAAATTTTTTTGGGCCCAATTTTTTTTTCTGGGCCCACCCAAGGGGGGGGGGGGCCCGGGCCCCCAGCCCCCCCCCCCTAATCCGCCAGTGGGCTATGTAGTTTAAAAGGAAGTATAACAGTGTGTATGCGTATATGTATTACTCGTAAATTGTCTTTTTAATTGATATTTGTAAAAAAAAATTTGAGTTAAGTTCTTTATAACTATATGAATTGCTTGTTATATTTGACAGAGAAGAAGATGTTAGTCAACTGATTGCCGTTGCCATAGAATCTGGGAGAATGTCACATCATCATCCAACAGGTTACCTTGGTGCGTTGGCTGCAGCACTATTCACTGCATATGCCACTCAAGGTATTTATTTGCATGGAGCGATTGTATTGTATATTTGTTTTAAGTTTTAAGTTTATTTGTATTTTGTTTTTATTGCACTTAGTAGTTATACTGAATTTGTACTTGTGATCTGCCATTTCTCAATAACACTTGTTTTGTCGATGGGAATACTCATCAGATGCCTCAGAAAGTCCAGTTTTGTTACACAGTGATATTTAACATGTTATATTAAATAATAGCTTCTTATTGTTGGTATTGTTCATGTTTATTATAAAAATTGAGTTTACACAGATTGAAGACAAAAGAGCATTAAGTATTCAAATGTTTTGTACATCAGGTAAACCAGTGCTGGAATGGGGTTGTGGATTGATGGAGGTACTACCCAAAGCCTTGCAATATATTAAAGACCAAGGCAGAGATGTGAAAGAGAATGTAAAACACTGGTAGGGGAAATGGCACATGGCTATGTGTTTGAAATGGGAAGAGTATATAGAAAATGAAACATTGTGATATGAAATTACTGTGTGATCTATATATTGATAGAGAAATTTGGGACCACTGGATGTTGTAAATGATTTCTAGTAACTATTTAAGCTAACTGATTAATCTACATTCAGGAGACCCATACTGTTTGTACAGTATAGTAATGTAAAGTATCGTATATCATATTCACTGTTACGCGGTATATGGCATACATTCATGGTTGCGCGGTATTTGTGATACGGGTGAATATGCCATACTCACCTGCGGTATATGGCATATTCCGCAGGTGAGTATGCGATATTCCGCAGTGAATATGCGATACATTGATTTCAGTGAATACGCTATACTCAGCTGCGGAATATGTCATACTCACTTGCGGAATATGCCATATAACACAGGTGAATATGACATATACCGCAGTTGAAAACGTGATACAGAAAGCCTTGGTTGCGAGAATCGACTCTAAATGTAAAACTACGCTGGATTACCAATATAGTTAGTGCGTCGAGTACTAATATATTGATTCTGGATTGATTGAGTAAGTTTATCACGTGAGATTAGTGACTGATACTTCTGCATAAGTTAATATTTTCGATACACAGAACTGTCGATTCAGTAATCATTATAATAATTTATAAAGTTTAACTTGTTCGTTCAATCGGTGCAAATTGACAATTGCGTACTTCCGTATCACGTTCTCATTGGTTAGTGTGTATGCCATACACCGCAGGTGAATCTGTCATACACCGCAAGTGAATATGCCATATTCGTTGCGGAATATGACATATTTTTGTATCGTGTTTACCGCGTAACATTCACATCTTTGCAGGGGTTATTTCAAAAAAGCTTGGATGAAATATCTTGCTTTGCGAAATCTGACTGATGGCAAATCAGAACCAAATTTTCCTGCCGAGTATGGCATTGAAGCGAGGGACGAATTCTATACGTCATTAAGCTTTGGCGGTGTAGCAGGGGCAAGTGGTCATGACGCTCCGATGATTGCCTACGATGCTTTACTCTGCGCTGGTAACAACTGGGTGAAACTATGTGAACAGTAAGCATAACTTAAGTGACCAGGCCAAAATATTAGTAAATGATGGTTGTTATGTAAATAAGAGACAAACTCCCTCTGCTTGAAGTGGCTTAACCCCCTTTATTTTGGGCGTTGTCTTTTTATAATATTTATGGAATTTGAAGGTTGATCCATGCTAACACATGTGCCATCTAACATTGGGGAATTTAAAAACAACTGAAACAAATTGTGAAATACATGCATGTTCTTTTATTTCACATACTCAAGCAAATGCTTTAGTGCGGTATATTATCAGTGGACTATCCAGGCCCCGCTGACATCGAGAGCTATGAGCTCATGTTAGAAGCCCCACGTCTCACATGAGCTCATTGCTCGCGATGTCAGCGGGAGCTTGCTCGCGATATACGGGGCCTGGATAGTCACCGTGTATTATGTGACTGAGGTTACTTTGTAGTTTACATGAGGTTACTGTATTTTGCATTTAGTGCAGCGTTACATGGTGGTGATTCTGATAGTACAGGAGTGAATGCTTGCTGCTGGTTTGGTGCCCTCTATGGATTTCAAGGTGTGCCAGAATGCAATTATAAAGTAAGTTAAAAACTTTTGAGATAAAGGGGCAACAGAGACAATTTACTTTTAAAAATGTGTTAGTTTTGCAATATCTTGTATTTTTACTTCTTTACATTTCATATCACCTTGTCTCTTTTTCTGACATTATTTCATGATAATCCAATCTCGACCTAGCTTCTTGAGTATCAGACTGTATAAAAACAATACATTTTATTTGAAGGATTTAGAGTATAAACAACGACTCGTGGAGTGTGGTGATAAGTTGTATGCCTTGAGTCAGATTAAAGATAGTGGAACAATTCGAGATGTTATAAGACAGAAATGTGATGCAATGTGAGCGTGGAAAATGGACCACACTATATAGCTGTAGTGAGAATGCTTATATAATAGACACCACCAGGTCTTGGTTAAGAAAGGACAAGAAAAGTATTGAATACTTATAAAAACAGGATTTTCATCTCTATTTTTTCATTTTCAAGTGGGTGCAAATCTTCTAAATCGTAAGTGGGTGCAGCACCAGTTGTTTTGGGATATCACTGAATTATATTACTGAAGATCCACCAGCGGTGTTACATATCATATCAACAGTGACACGAGTTAATGCTTACAGGTTCAGCATTTAAAGGCATATTCATTCAACCCCTACAGTATAATCCAATCTAACAGGTCGGAGAAGATATAGTAAAGGTGACCCCAATAAAATTCAGTAAAGTTTTACAGAAACACTCTTATTATAATAATCTGTTTGGCAATCTACACTAAGTGGTGTGAGGTGTCGGAGGATAGTAAAATATGGAAAAATATTGATCTTAATTTAGTGATGTTTAGAAATATTTCATACTATAAACATATGTTTTCAAAGATTGATAGTGAGCTGCATTTTGTTGAATGGGTTTCATCACATTCTCAAAATTCATTTCGTTCGTAGGAGACACGGATTGTACCATGGGCTTTCAACTAGAAGGGTAGGCAACTTCCCATATTTCATACATAAACATTGCCATGGGTTTTCAAAATTGGAGAATGTACACATTCCAAGAAAATCTTATTTTGTACTTTTTATTGATGATTAAAAGAAATAACTCAAAAATAAAAACATGATCTTCTACATACATCTTGATAATTTAATAAAAATTGGAATTCATCCTAATTATGACAATACAGAAAGTGAACATTCTCCCACAAATTATCTTTTTATTGGAATGTGTTCTTGAATAATTACCCACAATGCAATACTCAAAGAGAACATCTTGATAACTCTTATTCTTATTGGTCTCTTTTGTTTACTTTTATATGATATTGAATATATTTTATGCTTAAATCATATTAAAAATTGATTTTTATTCAAAATAATACTAAAACATATACATTTATCTAATACCTTTTGAAATATTGCCATAAAAGGGAAGCATGTCATTGCTCATTTTGAAGGTCTCATGTTATTACATAGAGTTGCATACCCTTCTAGTTGAAAGCCCATGATTGTACTGAACTAATGTTTATCCTGAATTCTATTGTATCTTTTTGTATCACCAGTGCATTTTGCTGCTTTGTATTTTCTATCAAATGATTTGTCTGTATTAATATGTCTATAAAAACAGAAATAAATTAAAAAATAGTAAAGGGCTTTGTGTAAGGGAGGGGGGGGGCTATAAACACCGCGTTCCTCATACCGTGATACAGTCTTTGAAGGGTTCAAGTCAAGTTCTTAAAGATTATTTAGTCTTCGTTAATGCTTACTTGCCATTAATGCACTCTTGGTATTTAAAGATGTGAAATTCGTCTAGTCAAAGATAGATAGATCTAGAGTAAAATAGCCAGAATTTGAGTTTTTTATTATTTGCCAAAATTCCCATTCAAACGATTGATCAATAGGGTAACGATGAGTTTAGTCTCAGAGACCCTTCATTCAGCCCAACACACGACAGTGTTATTGTTTGCTTAACTGTGGATGATAATTCGCTATCTGGTCCCATATTGAATTAATTCTCCTTTGGAATTAATTATATCATTGATAGTTAACTAAGGGTATATTTAAAAAGATAATATTAATTAGATAATACACCATTGAACACCATTTTTTATGAATGCTGGGGACGCAGTATTAAAAGGATAGTCTCAAAGTATATAGGTCTGGGAAATGTTAAAGGCATACTGCGTCGCTATAAAATGAATTGCACTACTATTTTCACAATTTTATTGATATTTGGTGTCAAATACACATATCTTGGTATATTTGAAGTCCCAAAACGGCTTAGTTTCAGAAATATCCCAAATTTAAATTCAAAAATGACCGTTAGCTCCGCACCCTCCGCTCATTTGCTCCGCACCCAATATTTCCCACATTCTCTGTCTGCATAGGGTGTAATAAAAATTTGCTTTACATACCCATTGCGTAGCTGGATGTAAAGATACCGCATTTATCGATAAAAGTCCGAACGAAATTCTGTTCGGTTTTTCTTGTGCTGTTCGCTCATACACTGTAAAGCATTTCCTGTTTATAGCAGTGAAAGTTTTTATAAACAGAATTACGAAACTTTTCCTGGATGAACATGCTCGATAGCAGTAACTGTTCTTAAGGTAGTGTATCAATATTTCACAATCAACGTTTGATCTATATGATGTAGAATTGATCATTTTGGTGAAAGTGAGAGATCAAAACAAGTCGATTTTAATTTTTGTGCCCAACCCATTTACATGCTTACAGTGGGGATCATAAAGAATTGCAAAAGCTATGAAAATTACATGCTGTCGCACATGTAATAAATTCTTACCTCAGTGTATTCAGTGCTCTATTTCCTCCGTCTTAGTAAGTCCAAATATAGTGGAATTTGTGTCTCTAATGACAAATAAGAACTTCAAAAGTTGAAGTGGATATTCATATGTTATGCTGACTCTTCAAATATGGAGGTGATTTTGTTGCCCGATTGCGCCGGAACGGAGGATTGGCTCCCAGAATGCAACATGACACGTGCCAGCTTTCAAAATGCTGTTCCGCCATTTTGAAACCTGTCATGAGTAAATACGGTTAACTGATGTTGCATTCTGGGAGTCAACCGTCCTTGGATAACAAACATGGCGATTCATGAAAACATTCATTCGATTTGGTAGGGATTTATCCATTATTTGCAGGTATGAAGCTTTGGATTCATTTATTGTGCTACTTTAGTGAACGGGAATTATTTTTCTACCGCTTGGGAGAGTTTGAAACACGAAACTTGGAAATTAGCTCATTGTGACAACTTGTGAACGTTGAGTTTTATTTTTGTCCCCCACTGTAATTTTTATGAATTAGGCTAGATCTATGCCATGATAATTAATTATTGGGTTGATTTTTTCAAATTGAAAACTTGGGGTTGTAAAGCGTTGTTTTAAATAGTAGTTGACACAAAGCTGAATTTTATCTAAATAACCACCTACCCAGCTTATTTACAACCCCAAGTTATCTTTAGCTAGCCTTGATCTAAAATTTCCCAAACCCAAATTTTCAACTGCAGAATTAGATCTATCATTATCATGATTATCCACATTTGGCAATCATACAAGCCAGAGAGTCCTAGGGTGGTGAATTTGTACGATCCGCGCCCGGGGGCTTCACTCTTATATAACTCATGATAGTTAATACCTATGTGCCGCGCCAAAGACCCCCTTTTTGAGCAATTTTTCCATGTCAATTTCCTCTCAGACCAGTAAAAGGGACTAAATTTCCTGAAATATTGGTATATTGACTTCAAAATCACTTCTCAGGTGATTTGGCCCAAACTTCGCCAACTGATTTAATCAATTTATAACCATTTTTTTGTAGAAAAACTGATTTTTGACTGAAAAAGGGTTTTCTCTTTGACAATTTTTTTCCTCTCAGATTGGCCAGGTTCCATGGTTTATGGCCTTAGCCAAAATTACCTGTGCTGCACATACCTAGACCCAAATTATTTAGAGTCAACCCCCAGGGGATCTGGGATCCAATCCCGATAAATTTCGTCATGGTAATGATGCATTGTGGGATTAATCCAAGAATTAATCCAAAAATCTGTGAATTCGTACGATGCTGGAATTAATCTCGGGATAAAGCTCAATCCATCTCATGTGGTAGATTACATGTATTTTTTGGATAAATTTTATCCAAATTCCGATGCAAATTGGATAAATCTTGGGGATTCCCCCTTATAATCCTCAGATCGTACAAATTCACCAATATTAGTAATCCAAGATTTATCCCAAGATAAAATTTATCCGGATTGGATTGAATGAAAATCATAAATTTAACATGGTAAAGTTGAAAAGTCCCTTAAAACAACAAGCAATTTTGTGAAAAATACTGGTGAAAATCGCCTGTTGCCTGCTGCTAATGAAACCCCTGTAATTCCTTTCTCAGTCTTGCTATTCTGGCCAGATAATGCCACTGCAAATGTAAAATCATTGCAAAATGCTTGCTAGGCTAAAGCCAGATTCATATTTCTATTGAATGATCTGCTAAAGGTTAGTAAGCCCATTTAAAGCAGATATATAGGTTGACAGTAATAGAATTTGAATAGAATATAATTTAAACCTAAGATTTAAAAAATAGATCTATTGTTTGGTTTCAGCTCATTTTAAAATTGAAAAGAAACTCCCTGGTTGCCCATGAAAAAATAAGCGTTCAAAGGAGCATATTGCAACATAATGTGTATGCAAAAATAAAAACATAATTCTTACAAGTTTTGATTTTAATATGCAGTTTTACCATTTTCTCTAGAATTTTTAAAAACTGAAATCCCATAGCAAAAGCTGGCAATGGGCCTGCATGAAGCACCAGGCATGGCTGCATGCACATGTGAGCATGTGTCCAAAATTTACAAATATCATTAGATTCTTCATTTTCTTTATTACATTACAGTGAGAAATGGGTGATTCAGCAGAACAATTAAACATGTTAAAGATTCCTATGAAAGTCAGATATGAAGCTGCCATGGTCCTCAGTGGAGTAGGTGATGCATTGGGCTACAAGAATGGATCCTGGGAATTCTGCAAATCTGGAAAAGCGATACAAGAAGAATTGAAAAGTTTAGGAGGACTTGAAAAGATTAAGATAAAGTGTATGTACTGTAGTTACCCATTGACAGTTTCACTTTGTTGATATCACCCCTTAAATGCACTCTTACAAAAATGAAAGGGAAAGAGTTTATTTCAGTGGACAGATATCAAGTTCAAAATATGACTTTATGCTTACCTGACATGTTTAATAGGAGTTCTTATTTAAATGATCTTATGTATGAGAACAGTATTTTGTCCATTATATTTTGATCTTACAATCATATCACCTGACTTTCCAGTTGTTTTCATTTTGTATTGCATCTTTTACTTTTCAAGCATCAAATTTTGCAATATCTGATTTGCTAATTATTTCTTTTTGTATTACAGTACCCAATTGGATGATCAGCGATGACACAGTCATGCACCTTGCAACTGCTGAAGGTATGCAAATTCTGAAAACATAATTACGAGTCTAAGAGTATTTTAAAGGTTATGCCATGAATGTATTGTCAAATTGTCAGGGTATGACAAAAATCATAATAGGCGAAGTACGAAATATGCAGTCTAACATTTTTTATGAATTTTAACACAAATACCTGGGTCTAAAATCCAATGTAGAACTGCTAGAACACAAAGATAAATGTTACAGATAATGAAACATGTAAATGAGAAAACTACAGATTCAAAGGTCAAACCCTATATTGCACTGCACAAATGAGGTCTTAACTCAACAAACAGTGTAAATATTACCTTTGTGCTTCTGATTTGTGTATATATTTATATTTTTAGCTTTGATTAAACATGGAACGAGAAAAGACATAAGCTTATTATACACTGATCTTGCAACCAAATACAAAGAATGCATGCGAGACATGAAAGGCAGGGCACCAGGTAATACTCATCTAAATAGTTTAAAGAGAGAATCAGATCTAGCAAGCAAGTGTAACGAAAATTGTTTCAATTTTAGAATATTTTCGGCTCATCATTTCAGGAAACCTATTTTCACCATAATGTATAACTTTTTTATAAATATGGTTACCTTTTTTATGTCACCACCAAAAGCGGTGCCTTTGTTATGCTGTCCAACTTTTTAATGATGGCAGTTGGTGTTCAGAGTTCGGTGTTAATGTCTATAGCAAAATGGCAGGTGATGAAATTTTCATGTTAATGCTTCGTTATTATTTTGTACAATAGGTGACACTTCGATAAAATAAGTAAAACATTTTCTCCCCATGTTTACACTTTGAAGCCTTTATACCGTCACTAATTAATAACACTTATTACATTGATATCAGAAGGAATAGATTGCTCAGATCAGTTGTACATGTTGCAGGCAATTTTATCACTCCATAGATCTGATTCTGCCTTTAAATTTCTTAAAAACCGTATTAAACAATAGCCCAAGCCTCCCCATTGATTGAAATGACGATGTCCTTTATTGTAAAGATTTATGACTTGCTTCATTCTAGGTCTTACATGCATGTCAGAACTTCATCGTCTACGTCCCCTTGTGAAGGATGGTTTGAATATACCCTTCAACGCGAGGTAAGTGTCATTTATCTAATAAAACACTACTAATTTATCAATATAGTGACAAGTTTTAATGTAAAAATATATTTCATATATAGATTAGCGAAGGGTTTATTTCTGTGTTCTTGAGGATAGGCAGTAATTGTTAACTGTTCATTGTTTTTGTTTTTTTATTTATGATAGGGGAGGTGGATGTGGAGCCTGTATGCGAGCAATGTGTATAGGTCTACGCTATCCGAAGTGAGTGCTTTGAACATACTAAAAAGAATAGCCATGGGATATGGGTTATGTTTATCACACATTTGAAAATTGATTTAAAAATGTTACTTACGTACTTGGCCAACACATAACAAGGCAATAACATGCAAAATGTCACCAATGTCACATAAGAAATTGTCACAACTGATGGTGGTGACATAATTACACTAGGGGATATAATCCATTTCATATCCCTTAAAACTCATTGATGTGTGTGTAATACTATCACACTATAGACATAGTTTATTTGATTGATATTTGTTGCTCACGAGGAAGAAGTCTTTAGTTCAGTTCTTTCATAATTTTGAATTGCTTGTTATTATTTTACAGAGAAGAAGATGTTAGTCAACTGATTGCCGTTGCCATAGAATCAGGGAGAATGTCACATAATCATCCAACAGGTTACCTTGGTGCATTGGCTGCAGCGCTATTCACTGCATATGCAATTCAAGGTATCTTATTTCTGAAAATTATTGGCAGGAATGGATTGTGTATTTGTTTTATAATCGAGAAAAGTAAAACACTTATTTGCAACATGTTAATAGACTTGTTAGCAAAATAAAGATGCTTATAACTTATAACATGTTCCACAGTTATACTTAAATATTTTGTACACCAGGTAAACCAGTGCTGGAATGGGGTTGTGGATTGATGGATGTGCTACCCAAAGCCTTACAATATGTTAAAGACCAGGGCAGAGATGTGAAAGACAACATAGAGAAATGGTAGGGGAACTGTCATATTATGTCTTTAGAAACAAAAAAGACTAGAAAGGTCATACAGAGAAAGAATCAGATGGCAATTGTATTTTGACCTCCCCACATGGGCAATATTAGAAGGAGTAAATATATTATATCCGTTGTATCCATATCTTTGCAGGGATTATTTCAAAACTTCTTGGGAGAAATATCTTGCTTTGCGAAATCTGACTGATGGCAAATCAGAACCAAGTTTTCCTGCTGACTATGGCATTGAAGCGAGGGACAAGTTCTATAAGACCTTGAGCTTTAGTGGTACTGCAGGTTCCAGTGGTCATGACGCTCCAATGATTGCTTATGATGCTCTACTCTGTGCTGGTAACGACTGGGAGAAATTATGTAAACAGTAAGCATAAGGGGCCATGACAAAATATCAATATGTTTGTTTTGCAAAATAGAATTAGACATGCTTCTCTTTGCTTTATTATCCCAACGAACGAAGTTTGGATATTATAGTGAAGCTGTCCATCTGTCAGTCAGTCCGTCCGTCCGTCCGTCCGGAAGATAACTCAAATACTAGTTGACGGATTTTCTTCATATTTAGCAGAAAGATGTATATTGGTGAATAGTTTTACGCACCACTTTAAAAACAACGGGACTTTTTCGCAAAAATCATAAATTTTTCATTCTAAACCAAAGTAATTAATATTATTGTTTGAAATTTTGGTAGTATATTGTCAACATTTATCTATTTCACATATATTCCGTGTTTTTCATCCTGACCCCCAGGGGCCGTGTATGGGGGGTCATAAAAACAGAAATTTCAGAATGGCTGCTTTGCAGGAATACGCAATTCTAAAATCTAATTTTTTCAATTTTAACCAAAGAAATGAGTATAATTGATTGGAATTCGGTAATTGATATTTTGTTCGTTGGGATTTGCTACTCCGCGGAGTTACCGTTATCTAGTTAAAAAGGTGAACTTAACCCCATTCATTTTTGCTTAGTCTTTTCAATTATATTTAAGGGAATTAAAAGGGATAAAGTTAAATATAAAAATCTTTTTGACAATCATGTCAATGTTTTCCTAAAATCTTAGAAGCATTAATGTCTCAAGTCGTTAAAATTGCAAATCTAAAGATTATCAGAACTGTTGTTATTCTAGAATATATGCATGTCACGAAATGATGATAGAAAAAAATATTAATAAAAATAAATTCATCTCAATCAGTTCTTTCTTTCAAGGTGAGGAATGGGGTATAATTTTAAAGTATAAAACAAATTCTTGCAATGAGCCCATTTATTTCTTTGTACATCAAATATTTTTACAGTTTTCACAATTAAAGTTGTTAGTTTAATATTTTATTAAACTATTAAATTATATTATTTACTATATATTTACTATATCTCAAAACAAGTCTTTTCTGCACATAAAAAATCTAATTAACTTTACTTTAGTTGGGAACTTAATTTTATTTTAGTGCAGCGTTACATGGTGGTGACTCAGATAGTACAGGAGTGAATGCTTGCTGCTGGTTTGGTGCCCTCTATGGATTTCAAGGTGTGCCAGAATGCAATTATAAAGTAAGTGAAAAAATGTTTAAGATTAAAGGGGCAACAAAGATCACGGATGAGTTGGGTTTAACTCAAAAATGTGTCAGCTTTGCAATATTTATTTGGCTCTCAAGATGACTGATTCAGTCATCCGTCTTATATCTGGCATAAGCCTGACACTGGCTGGGACTGTGCTTTTAAATGAGTCTTTTACGATGCACTTTTGTAAATGCTGAGACATTGATAAATAAATAAAATACAACTTTCCAAGACCATGCTGTCTTTCTTTTCGAATCATTAGGTCATACATGCCATGATGTAACGGAATATTTTGAGATCTCCTGGAATTTTAGTTAATAAACTGATTGATTGGCTAATTCATTTATTATGCCTCAATCAAGGTAATGTAATGAAACTTTTTTTTTTTTTTTTTTTTAATATTCATTATTTATTTCTCACACTATAAATTTACATACATGTGCATACATTGGTGATAGTAAAGACAATTTGATAATATAGAGTTAAGGCACATAACAGTTACATGATCTCATTTCGAATAAAAAAGCAAAAAAGATACACAGTACAGACAGCAAAAATAATAAAATACAGGTTTGTGCAACGATACATTGTTGTAATTAAAAAGGTATGTCTAATTTATTCAGTATTGAGTTCCATTTCCCGATAAAAAGTTGCCGGTTTTTGTTTTCTGTAGATATTTTTAATTCATCTTTAATTTTGTTTCTTAAAGTATTTTTAAAACCGTTCACACTAATGTCGTAGTTTCCAATTTTGGAGTTGTGAATGTAGTTTTTCGCGTATAGCAAACAATAATTTAGAATTGTATCGCGATCGTCACGGTTGCCTATTTTTCCTAATAATATATCCCGGTCTCTCAAAAGTATATTGTCAAATAGAACGGATATTTCATTCCAAAAGTTCGCGACTGTCGCGCATTCTATATAGAAGTGTTGGGTGTCATCTACTGCACCACGATTGCATTTATCACATAGATTAGACTCTTTAATTTTTCTGTTGAACAGAAATAAGTTACAAGGGGTGAGGTTAAGTAGTAGTTTGTATTGGAAACTTTGGATCTTTGGCTCTCGCGCAACTTGAAAAGGTAGTCTAAAAATAGATTTCCACTCTTGTTCTGTCAGGTCAAATTTTTCATTGAATGTAATGAAACAGGCTACACATCATTTTGCAGACATTCCTCAATAATTATAAACATAAACATGACTTTGAGAATGCCAGTAGATATTATACCCCCTGTATCTTTGATAATTGGATACTATGATTTACAAGTGTTTCTATTTCAAGTGGCCTGTCTGACTGTACGGTTCTAACTGGCCCCTTGTCTTATGATGATGACTGTTCTATATTGGTACAAAACTTGTCAATATGATCATCGTATTGTCAATTCAAGATTTTTTTGAGGCAATTCAATGATTATGTAATATGAGATTAGTAAAAATTAGTTCCTTGCAATTCGAACATGATATCATGTGATGTCAAAATAAAAAGAAAAATTTATTTACTGGTCTATAATGAGTTATGAAAGACATTAAGGTTTTATTTTAGGTCATGGTAACGGCTGTCACAATGGCATGCTGTGATCATATTAGAATCGTACAACAAATACCTCAATTCTAGGATTCTTGGACATTTTTATTTTGGCTATTGCCAAAGAAATCAATAACTGCTTGATCTCAGTCTTAACAATGAGCAGAATAAAATCTTAGATGTACAAGAAAATCATAGTGTAAATCTCAATATTTGCTTCTTCAGTATAAAATGAGAAGGCATCACCTTGGCGAAATTTTCATCCAAGACAACCCCTAATTGAAAATCTTTCTAAAATAGCCATACATCATTGATTAAAAATTTGCTATCTACTATAGCATCAGACCATTTGAACCATGTTAATTTTATTTGTAGAAGCTAGAGTATAAGAAACGACTCATAGATTGTGCTGATAAGTTGTATGCCTTGAGTCAGAATGAAGCAGCTGATGGAAAACAATAAAAAACAAAAATGTGATGCAATGTGACAGTGAAACTTGGATGACAAGGTATTAATGATATAAATGGCTTTACTTAGAATACAGTTCTAATACCAGGCCTTGGTTTAATAGGTCAACAAAAATATATTGTAAATAAAACAAAACTGTTTTCTCCCCAGGAGATTCTGCTCTATTTTTCTCATTTTTAAGTGTATGCAAATTAAGCTCTTGTAAATCTCAAGTGGGTGGAGCACCAATTCTTAGGGGAGATCACTGAATTATGCATAATATCTCGTATATGGCATGATATTATATGCTATGATAGGGTGAGATGGACTACATGTATGATGGACTTAATAACAATGAAATGAAGATAATATACCTGTATATATACATATATACCTCACAGTAAACTGAGTGTATATGGTACGTGCTGGACACTTTGCTTTGACAATGAAACAACAAAGATATGGAGTACATAACAAAGATGTGTATTTACAAATAACAATTTTCATGAGGTACAATCATGTTTAAAACACAGGTTGGTAAGATGAAACAATAATATTCATGTTCAATCACTGACAGATAAAACTTAATTTGATCTCTCTATTCCAGTCATACATGTACAATGATGTCTAGAATGGAGAAATAATTATATTAAAAGGAATTTGCAAGCTTACTTTTAAGTATTAGTTGTAAGGATTACTGAAATACAATTGAGAGATTTTTCTTCAGTTTTCTTTAAAAATGTCCCTCATATGTGAGCTCATACATTTTGATCCTATTAATAAGTATAAATAAGCTCTCAAAATCTCACTGTAATTTATACAAATAAACAATTCATCACACTTTTGGATTCTAATAAAAACAGTCATGGTTGTCATGCCTACAGTCAAGGTAGTCATACCTATAGTCATGAAAGTTGTGCCTACATTCTTGGTTGTCATGCCAACAGTCTTGGTTGTCATGCCTATTGTCATTGTTGTCATGACTTTTCAGACCCGCCTTCTCTAAATATGTATGAACTGCCTTATTTAATCAAATTAAAGTACTTGCCTGTAAAGTATTCCTTTCAGATCCCACTCTTCATTTCAAAGCATGGCCACCATGACCTTAACTGTTCCAAACAATAGCACTCCTACTATAAAACACTAAACACTCCTACATTCTGGTACTCCTTTAAACTTTTTTTTATATATCTGGAAGCTATTCCATGACAGTTCAAATATAAAGATTTTTTCATGTCACCTATTTGACATGGATTATAAGCCAGTCTTGTTCACTTCTGTGTTGGTCTTGTTTGTATTTGTAATTCAATGGAGAACTGGCATTTATCGTTACTCTTTTTTTATATTATACTCAGTATAATAGATGTACAAGGTACAATGTCTTTCTCATAATCTACCTTTAGGAAGATGAACAGGCTCATATATACGGAAGAAAAAAAAGAAAAAAGCTGATTGGAAGATTATTCCGAGATCTTATTTGATATAAAAGATCAGTAAGTAGCTAGATTAAGCTTACAAAAAGAACTTGTTTTTTCTTTAGAACTCATAATTATACTTTGCTAATCTTCCTGACAAAAAAATGAAAAATTGACTCATTCAATTTTGACACAAAAGCCTACCAGTTCAGATTTTCTTGATAATGAATCGGTCCATCTATCCTTCCTTATTTGCCTCAATACCCTCATAGGTCTTCATAACGTATTTCTCTCAAAGACTCTTAAGATGTCTACCTAGTTTTACTAAACTGGGCTTAACTAAAATCACTGTGAAATTGTACCATCAAATATTACCGTACCATAAAAGTGGGATATTACATTCACACCACTATTTACTGTTGACCTTACTCATTGAAATACCATTAAAATACCACTACCAATACACTTACCATTTTTGTCATCATATAATTGATTGCTGCATTCCCTTCAAAACTTTTTGTAAATTCCATGCATTATGAAAAAAGTTTAAGCAAAATGAGACCTGAATAAATTATTGACCTTTTTGGGTCACCCTGTACATATACATGTATATTGTAATATAATTGTACATTCTATATGTTGAGAGTATCCTATATAAGGTTCATAATATTATGAGTGTCCAAGATTTTAATCATACACATTATAATATCAAATCAATTAATATATATATTGTATTAAATTCATGTTTTACATGTACAGTAAAACCTATATATAATGAACACTTATGGAGCTATAAAAAGAGTCCACTGCAGTTGGGTATTCACTACAGAGAGGGATTTTATACAGGACTCCATATCAAATGTGTTTTGAAGTGGTTTTCACTAAACCCAAGTGTTCACTAGAAAGGGGTATTTACTAAGACAGGTTTTACTGTACATCAAAGTCATGCTGTAGACACTACTGATGGTCTAAATGTTTAATAGTATTGTATCCTTCCTTAGTTCCTCAGTAGGTTTTTATATTCCACAAAGTGTCAATGTATGGATTTATTTATATGAGTTTACACTTTTTACAATAAAATATATGCATATCTTTTAATTTTTGAAAAATGTGTTTAATGTTTCATTGTTTAGTAACTGATAAAATGTTCATTGGGTTAAAAGTCCCTGGATGTATAATGTCAAAAAGTATGGTAATGGTGTATATACATTGTATAATGGTGTATATACAGGGTGTCCCGAAAGTATTGGGCCCCCCCCTAGGCAGATATATTTCAGTGTCCTCATAGTATGTGTCATATATCATTTTAAAGCTCATCCAAAGTTACATTGATTTGCCAAGTATCATGGTTTAACTCCCAAATGGGAAAAAGTTACAGTCATTTTAAAAGTTAGTGTTTTGTCAAATAAAGTACAATTTTACACCACATTACTAGTCAATGAGTCCCCCCTTGGCCATGTTAACAGCAGCAATTATCTTCAGATATGACCTTAAAAGCCCTTCAAATAGGGGTGTTGAATTTTATATCCCTCTTAAAACCTATTAAGGCACTTTAGAAGAGTTTACTTAGAGTTTCTACCTTCACCGTTCTCTTTTTCTAACTCAATATCCATCCGACCCGAAATGAATTGCTGCTGTTAAGATGGCCCGGAAGGACACATTGACTAGTGATTTGGTGTAAAATTGAACTTGATTTTGACCAAACACTAAATTTTGAAATGCCTGTAATTTTTTCACATTTGAGAGTTGAACCATGATACTTGGCAAATCAATGTAACTTTGGATAAGCTTTAAAATGATATATCACACATACTATGACGACACTGGTATATGTCTGCCTAGGGGGGGGCATACTTTCGGGACACCCTGTAAATTACATACAATAGAACATGCAAAAATGGGTGCAAATGTTACATAGGGTTTTGTATACTGCAAGTATTATTGTTGGGTAGATCTTTTTATGGACATCCACATTATCATCCACATAAAACTGACACCATGGTCTCGTCTAGAAATAGTTGTATTCCTCATGCATTGTACTAAACTGAAGGAGATACACGTAGCTCTTATTCTCCCAGAGAAGCAATTTTGCTGATTTAATTGGTGTAACATGTTTCTTTCTATACTAGTAAGTGTCTATTTGGAGTTGATTTCTACTTGGGACTGGCACATCCAGGACTGACACTGAATATTCGTTTACATTCTTTATATGCTTCTCCACATTATAGCACTCAGTCAAACACACAGTACGAAATATCTCAAATTGAGTTCGTTTTGGGGATGTTTGTGGTTACTATAACTGCAGAGTAAGGGTCTCCTATGAAAGCAGCTTGTTGATTTGCTGCTTGGTTTCAAAGAAGGTCGTTCAAAGAAATAATCATAGGTATGAGAAGGGTTTGCTTCACACGTACCAACTAACTGCTCTTCGTACTCTAGGTATGGGCTCAACGTACCCAGTGTTCAGAATTGCCTGTCGCCTGAGCCTTTCTCCCAATGACATTACCTCAGAGTTGATGCGAGTGTTATCCAGCGCCAACTCGTGAAGTCGTCGCTGTTGTAGATCGTAGCGACGTTCCACGTCTTGCATCCCGAGTTCCGTATCAGAGGCGTCTTGGTATATGCGTCTTAATCTCTCCTGGTCTCTCGCTTTAACCTCACGCTGACTTACACCCAACCGACGATGTTCAGCATAAAGGTTGTTCAGGCGTTCTTTTTGGCGTTCTTTGCGATCCTCGCGCTGTTGGGCCAGACGTTCTACCTCGAAATCACGGCGTTTCTGTAGGCCAAGAATATCCGAAAGCTGGAAAAGTGTTAGAAAATGTGACTTAAAATTTGGTACAGATTGAAGGAAAATCTAGGACTAAAATAATTATATTGCGATATCGAAACTCTGGAGATGACATCTGAGATTTGAGTGTTCGTTTGGTCATTACATCCTATATTTCAGGGCTATATTTCAACAGTATTGGATGAGTATCGTAACAAGTAAGATCCCATTCTCAGGTAACCCTCTGCCAGGAATTAGCATTTTTGAAAAAGTTAACCACAGGCTCATATTTATGACAGAATCAATTTTATATACTGTACACTATATCTGTTATTTCACTTTTCCAATGGTATACTATGAGTTACTTTAGTAAATGAGTAGACCTGGATTTTCCGCAGATGAGCACCATTTTTTGATATTTCACTTTTTAATTGAATACAAATAGAAAAACTTAAAGTTTTTATCTTTTTCCCATACCCAAAAGTCATGGTGACGTTCATGCTTTTGTTTGTCCTTTTCTCTGTATTTTTGGTTGAGAAGAATTTCGGCCCAACGCCCTTCGTCGTTTAATCGATCGGACAGGTCATACTCCTAGAGTATGAAAATAGGGCAGTTAGACGAAAACATTTCTACACACACTGATAGCATGAAGAACTATACTCCCCTCCATAATTTTGGCAATGTCGATGAAATGATTTAATTAATGGAAGCTCAGAAGCTTTTGCGAGAATCTATTGAGTACACGTCAAATTTTGTTACGAAGTAGGTCAAATATGGTGAACACTAGGTCGGAATGACACTGTGCAATGGATTTTTGGTATTGAAAAGCTAAATTAGGTCAGATTTTAGCAGAAAACTATTTTTATCATGGAAGTATGCTCTGCCCTTTTGAAAATTACCATTCCTTGCAAACCAATGGGAAGTGATGGTTTCATTGCAAAGATCACAGCATATAGCGAGTATAAGGGTGTTTGGTTGCCAAACTTATGGAAAGGAGTGTAGCTATAGATAATGGCATAAATGCCATGGTCGTATGTTAATCAGAAAACGTTTACTATACATAAAAATAGCCAACTTTATCTATGTTCAGAAAAGATACAGTATGCTACGTTCAAGATACAAGAAAACACGACGATAGTTTTAATAGAGGACCATGCATACCAACATGGCGTTCCTAGAACCTCTAATATTGCGATTTTGCTCGATTTCCTCATGTTTAGGCCTCCAGAACTGGTCTGCAACTAGCTCGGCTCTAATATCTTGCTGTCTCTTTAGGGCTTTGTTGACTTCATTCCTAGACCTTGATTCATCCTGCTCCTGTATCCATTTCCGATGCGATTCAAGTTCCTGTTTACGGATAGCATCATACATGCGTTGCTTCGCATCGTTTCGTTTGATGTCATTCATGCGTTGCTTAGACCGTTGTTGCGCTTGCTTCCTGTAGTACTCTTTCATACTATTGTTGTAGACTTTGTTATAAATGGCATCGTTGTTTTTGCGTGCGATTTCCTCGTCCATGTAGCGGTTCCATGCAGAATGTGGTGACTTTGAGGGGTGCACACGCTATAGAATAGAGAAAAGACACACAATAATCCAAGTACTAGTACAGGGATCGTGAAATGTAGGAAACAGTAATTTTATGACGAGCAAATCCATTGCATAATATTATCAAACCAAATGCTGGTCTGCTGATATTTGATAGAACAAACAAAAACACGCAGACAAACAAACGAACAACCAAAGAAACAAACAAACAAACAAACACACAACCAGACAATCATACGAACAAACGAGAAGAAATGAAAGAAAAAACAGGTTCAGAAATATCATGGTAAGTCGGAAATTTGTGAAACAGAAAAAACGACGAAAATGTTGTGAAGTTGATTCCAACAAGATAATCTGACGTCGAAATAACTCGGATGCGGTCAGTAAAGTACAAACATGATGTTCGTATATCCCATATTTCCCACATTTTACCGAACTATAACTGAATTTTGTTTATACTGAAAATGAAACCTCCAACCTCAGTATTTCTTTAAATTCTTCATATTTCAAGCCAATAACTTAGTCTCGTAAAAATTAATGTATAATTTAAGTCGGCCGAAGGAATACCTATAGTAAACATGATTTCCAGCATACATCACTCCCGGCCTTCAGAGCGGACCAGGGATGATGATATTTTTACATTTACGATTTCTTAGGCAGATTGGTTGGCTCTGGAAGAGGTCGTGTATTAATGTACACGTATAACTATACTTATTATGTAGTAGCAAACATTTGGGTAATGCAAAATGGTAGCATTTATATATTTTATCACCCCGAGGATATAATTGCCATCCAATTACAGCAAATTATCTACGTTTTATCGCACAGAGAATAACATTTTTTGTAATAATCTTTTTAATCCGATATCGATATCGATAGATATCTCGATCAAAATTAATACACTTTTAGTCTATAATGCATTTCATATTTGGTTAAACATATTAACAAAATAGTCCATTAATTCAAGCATTATGATATATTTTTTAAAATGCTCTTTTATATCAAATGTTTTTTTTAAAAATAGGCGTATTATATCATCCAAGGTAGCAACCGTATCTATATTTACATCTACGAGTTTGAATTAGCGAAGCGAATGAATAACAGATTTAATATACTATTTGGAAGAAACATATTGAATGTATAGTATTTTATTTTTATCAATTCTCTTTCTAAAAATAATTTGCACAATGCGTTGTTGTTTATGTTGTTTTTTTATTTTCCTCATTGTTTTCAAAATTAAATACACGGACATGTAAATGTATCCTAGATTTTTCAAAATATATGATTTGTATTTGTTGTTACCTGTACATAACAATCCAAGTATAATATAATATATATAGTATATTATACACTGTATAGATATTATTTTTTTGAAATTATTTATTTTATGTTGAATCACAGTGATAAAGTCGAATCAAATCAGCTGTTCTAATCAAGGAATTTAGATTTAAAGTTCTTATCGAATCACATAATGTATAACACTCTACTTACCGTCCTATCCATGGTGTCACCCCTAGTTAACTAGAGACCTGAAGAAAGAGATGGCTCTGGTCGAAAGTTAAAGCGTCGGTCCAGGCTCTAGATTCACTCCTATATCCTAACGTACACTACGTTTAACTGGGGTGGATATATGAATTATCCGTTGGTTATGTTGGTTATAGATAAGATTTCATGTTGAAATAGCATATTTTCTGCTTGGATTTTCTGAAATTTTAAAATAAAACGGATATTCAATGATTTTCTCTTATCAATGCAAACACTTGTGTTTTTGTAAATCTTATGAGTGTCAAGCGTCAGTCACATTTGCATAAAGCGGCCGTACGTCGGTCTTCAATAGAATCGATATAGAAAATCTTCATCGTACTGCTTAGCCCTATATTTTATACTGCATATATCTCTCGATTTTGGGAAGCTACGGCCGCCGTATGGTTGTCGTAGGTCAAATGTGACTGAGGCATTTGGTTTTTGATTTTGATATAATTGATCTAAATACAAGCTAAATTGCAGTAAACATGGTCATTAAGAGAATACTTATTATTTAAACAAAATGGCGATCCTCCCCTGTATTTTGCATTAGGAACACTCGCTTCATCTGACTGTAAAACCTGTCATTATTGAAATAATCCGTTTTATCAAATATTTATGTATTTCATATATGGATTCTTAAAATATGCTGGTGGTCTAGACTTTCTTCATAAAGAATATCTCTTCGTGTATAGAGCTATGGATGCATGGATACAAACTTATATCTAATGCAAGGCAGAATTAGTGTTCATCACCAATATCCATTTAAGACTATTAAGAATATGTGAACAATATACTACCTACTCAAAAGAGTTTAACATTGGATATGTAACTGTCTTTTTGAATTGAATAGCACTTTTCTTGGCTCTTTGAGTCGATATATGCATGTAGTATTATGATGTTTCATTAAAATCACTCCTTGCGTTCTTGACACATTCCCCAACAAAGTACAATGAGTTTTGGCAATATGTTTTGAACTCAAATGTTCGAAATGATCTCTGTCATCCCAAACAACAAAGTTAATTTGTCACCATTAACATAGTCCACCCTGTAATACGTTTTGAATGAAAAATAAAGCTACAGCTATTGTTTTGTGGATCAGGTTTATGAATTGGTGTTTTTAGCGTTCTTAGTATTTTTAAAAATTTCCTCTTGTTTCATATTTGCAACTATCAGGCATTCACACTTTTCTACAGAGCTCTACAGTTAGCTACAAAACTGTGTAGCATTAACGTGTATGGTGTGTATTTCTGGTTCCATCATATCTGCAGGAAGGCTAAGTTACATATTCCATCATTAGGTCCAGAATAAGCAGGTCTATTTTGGATGTGCTGTAATACCATTAGCTATTGAAGCAGCTGTGCACAATCTTCTGGTTATGAGAGAATCTATAAATTCATCACTCGAACTAGTGCGGTCAGGTTAGACCAGGCTAGTTGAGTGCAGATGCTGTATTGTATGTATGTATATATTTATTGCCCTTTATATAAAGGAGATACATGTATACAAATTATGTAAATGTTAAATTGAAAATAATCACTATTTACAAACAAACAATATTGCTGTTTTTGACTGACAACGACGCCTAGCTACCGCGTAGACGCACGTCGCCGACCAAAATTGGCCTAGCACCTAGTTGTAACGCAATTATAAAAAAATGACTATATTTTACAAACATTCATTGTTTTGTTGTTGCTTTTTATACTGACGACGACGCCTAGCTACCGCGTAGACGCACGCCGTAGGCCTAGATAGACCTGTTACCTAACACTCTTGAGATTAATAAAAAATGACATTATGGATCTGCATTTTCTATAAAATTAAAAGGAAGACATACATGCATCTGAACGGCTGCAATTTGTTGTTGCTTTTTTGTACTGACGACGACGCCTAGCTACCGCGTAGACGCACGCCGTAGGCCTAGATAGACATGTTACCTAACACTCTTGAGATTAATAAATAATGACATTATGGATCTGCATTTTCTATAAAGATAAAAAGGAAGACATAGCATATCATCATACCTTCCCCAAGGTAGGTACTGCAGTACTGTATGAAAGTATGAGATGCTTTCAATATCTTGTAAGCTAGTAAAAGAAATATACAATTTTTGTAAATTGAAGAAAGGTGGTGTTGCCCTATGGTGCAATTCTAAATTAGTGTGTATAGTAAGTGTACATAAATATAAATACAAATATGCGAGTAAAACTAAAATGTATTTATAGCTGCTTAAGAGATATAATCGTTTGTTGCAAATACGTCAGGCTGCCGTGTTGACGTTGCAACTACCAATCAAGAAAAAACAAACATAAAGCATTGCTTATTATTGTACCTTCCCCAAGGTCGGTACACTCAGAATAAATACTTATTGCATATTACCCCCTGGTCAGCCCATGTTCCTCCCTTGAGGACCACCCTTTCACGCTGATAAAGTTACATTAAGTTTGTAAACTTGTCAAGTACCGTTGACGACACAAATATTGTTGCATAACTATATATGCCATATCTTTTAAAAATACAAGTAGTTGTTCGTTTGTAAAGTGCAACTCTTCAATTCCTATGCCAAGAATGTTTTTAGTGTTCATTTGGATACCCCATTCGCAGCAATGATTGCTAAGTTGTTCTCTATAAATAAGATATATATTTGCTGGGCATTTAAGTAAGAAATGATCTACGTCTTCTTTTTCATAAGTGCTGCACATTGAGCATATAACTGATTTATCTTCGGAACCTCTATATTTTGATCTAAGCGCATGTTCATCTGCTAGCAGTTTCACCATTATTTTACAACTACTTAAAGCAAAAGGGAACAGTCTTGCAACTCTCCACCATATAATTGGCCTCAGAATTTCAAAGTTACCCATTCTAAAATAGTTTAGGCCCTTGTACATTAGCGATTGGAAAAATGTCCTTTGCATCTGAACGGCTGCGATTTGTCTATACACAATATTCTTCCACCTATTTTTGGGGATGAACATTTTACAGTCTACCATATTTAGAACATGGTTATATAAATCGTACCTTTTTGATGTCAGTAACATGCATTTTATTGGAGAGAAGGTATTACATTCATTGTTAACATGCAGCATTTTTACGAATCTCATTGTGAAAAGACATTTATATATATTTGCGCTCGGGAGTTGCAATAAACTCCAGAGAAACATCATTCTTAAAAAGTCAATATAAAATTCAACGTCCATTAGGCCCAGGGGCAAAGTTGAAATGGGAATACTAGCTGAGGGAGGCAGAGATTGAATTCTCCGTCCTATTTCTCGTTGTGTCTTTTCTAGAACAACTATATCATTCTGTTGATAGTTGATAATATGGGCACCGTATGTCATTGTAGGTATGGAGTACGTTTTGTATATTTGACATGCAGATGTTGGGATTAGGCCTCCGCAGCCACTACCTATACCGAGCAGAGCATTGTACTGCGATTTGCCCTTCTTACATTTATCCTGTACATAATCAGAAATATCATTATTTGTTGAAATTGGGATTCCGACATGCTTCACATAGTCAGATTTTGCAATTGATTTACCTCCGATATTAAGTTTCTGAGTTGCACCTAGCTCGATTTTACTATTAAAAACGAGAAACGAACACTTATCGGGATGAACTTCATATCTCCACTGATTACTATGAGCATGGAGTAGATCAAGTAGCACTTGCATGTTTTCAAAGGAATTCGACAAGATGCACATGTCATCGGCATATGAAGGACTAACGCAACTTAACGAACCTATGGTTGATCCCTTGTTTAGCTTAATCATGGAGTCAATTATATCTGCCATATAAAGTTGGTAAAATAGCATGGACAGGACACCGCCTTGATGGACACCCTGTAATATTGGAAATAAGTCAGAGCATTTTCCGCCTACTAAAACCGAGCAACTATACCGCTTATATAGCATATACAAAATTTTCCATATCTTACCGCCAATACCACAGTTGTGAAGTTTAAAAAGTAGGCCATCTATCCATACAGAATCGAAAGCTTTTCGGATATCTGTTACTGTTAAAACTACCATTTTACCTTGTTCTACATTTTCAGAAATAGTTTCTTGTACAAGTAATGATGTATGGATTGATGAACATTTCTCGACAGCTGCCCCTTGTAATTTAGGGATAGCATTTAGAACGGGTGCTTTTACATGAGTTAAAATAATGTTGTCAAATAATTTACGAAGCATTGTCATGAGCGTAATACCTCTTGAGTTGTCTTTTACAAGTGGATCTTTGCCGTTTTTAACAAGAGGGATCATTGTGCCGATACAGAAGTTACATGGAATGTAGACGGACTGAAGTATAATATTGTAGATGATTGAAATTGTTTGGACCATGGAATCCCCGCCATATTTTAGATGTTCTGCGCTGATCTGATCATAACCACATGCACGCTTTGAATGGAGAGCTTTTATTGCACTATGAACCATCTCAGGAGTAATTTTAAAAATAGTGCTATCATTCGATATACTGTTAAAAATTGTTTGGACCTTGTTTTCAATTTCGTATTTAAAATGACTATCAAACGTCGATTTGTTTAAAGGGGTAGCTAGTTTTTCGAAATGGCACTTCCACTGTTCTCTGATTTCATTAGCATCTGTAATTAAATGGCCGTCGTCGGCAAGTACTGGATTAACAGATTTCTTTGATGATCTTCTGTGTTTATTGACCAGATACCAGTAAAAGCGTTGATCTGATTGTTCTGATGTATACAATTTTTCTAATTCCTCTCTTTCATACTCAAGTTGTGCAGCTTGATAGGTTTTTGAAAACATTTTCTTTGACTCTTTATATTGTTTTCTAACATCATTTGAAGGGTCACGTGATCTACCCTGAGACACCCATTTATGCCACTTTGCCTTTTTATCTTTAGCTAATGACGTCAAAGTTGAGTTCCAAAAGGGCTTAACATATTTCAGGAATTTCCTCTTTGGTATATGAGCATTTGATGATAAAATTAAACTCTCTACTATTCTATTGATGAAATGATCAATTTCTGCTGCGTTTAGTGTCCGACTGGACAAGATAGAACGCAGTTCAAGTAAAATATCGTTACATTTCAATGTAACCGAATTAGTGTACGAGTCCTTTATTTCATTACAGTTGAGTTTGTTCCAAGCAAATCCTTTTGGGGCTTCAATATCTGGGCAACGTTCTATTTGAGCATTTAAATTTAATATAGTTTGAATTGGAAGATGATCTGATGTATTGTCAGGCTCATCTTCCAGGACTGTACACGATAAAACACATTCACGTAAAGTGTAAGACAAAATGACATGATCAATATAGCTAACATGAAGAGCATTGTTTCGAGTCATTTCAAATGTATGTCTTAGACCACACGCTAAGTCTGTCATATCAATTGCGGTTAGAAGATTTCGTTGCATAAAATCATACAATTTGATACCATTAGATGAGGGATTACCATGACCCCTACAACCCGTAAGCGTACCCAAATTACTGTTTACATCGCCAAGAATTATAACACTGCCATCCATGCTAGCCTTTTGCACAAAGTGTTCGAGTGAGAATAAAACATCGTCGTACATGTCAATTTCACAATTTTGTTGAGGTAAGTAAACAGAAAATATATAAATAGGCGCAGTTTGCACTATTGATACCTTTAGACAAACGATCCTGTCTGTTGACATATCTTTAACAGGAATAACATAATTGCTCAACGAATCACGCCAGAAAATAGCAACACCACCATTTCCCCATATTTTACCACAGTTAAAATCGTTTAGATTCTTGCTACTTGTGCTGTAACACCGAAAGTCCGAGTGCACGGAGTCAAGCTTGAATCTGTTACAGGGATAGAGTTTGTGCTCTGAGAGAGCCAAGATATCGCAATGTGACAATAAATGTTTAATATATAGAGTAGATACATTGAAACCTCGGCAATTCCATTGTGCTAGTCTTAACTCACTATTACCTTGATTGTTAAAAGCTATGGTCTGTTTATTGAATAAAGCAGAAAATAAAATGAGAAACAACAACAGTTTTAGATTTTCACACATATTAAACAGCCTGTTGTCGATCAGTTTCGTCAAACGCGAAGCAGTCTGATGCATAGTCATCATCAGTTTTGTATGGATCATATTGTGCATGATAGCCACGCGCATTAGAATAGGTGTGCCCTGTGAAGACAGGAATTGCATTAGCACGTTGGTAAGTAGAATTTTTATTATTATATCTTGTTCGTTTTTCCCATCTTCGGCAAACTATAGCGGCGTCTGGCCAGAAATTTTCGTCAAGTATAAGGGTTACTTGATCATTGGGAATATAAATTTTGCATCCAACCTTATCATCGCAAACTCGGTTATGTACGATGTCTGCTTTCATGACACGTATGCCTCTTTGTTTAAATTACGCAACTATCGTGGAACGGAGGTCCTCATCGCTAACGTTCCCATCTTTACGAATGTTGCTGACGTAGACGAAAGCACCTTCGACTTCTTGGATCCCCTTTAAGGTAACCATCTTCCGGCGTTGTTGCGAAGGGTTATATTTACCGTGGGCTTGAAGTCGAGGCTCTTTAGGTTGAGTTGGTGGAGGGGAATGGCGACCTTTAGGGCCAGCAATGGACCAATCATCTATGTTTTCACTTACTACGCTAGAATAAGTGACAGGTTTCGAAACATTAGGCACTGGTTGCACTGACTTTGCAGACAGCGGTTGCGAGGCGATTTTCAAAGATGGCGGTATAGCGACAGACTCGCATGGCTCAGTAGGCTTACGTAGTGAGTTTTGCTTATTAGCGAGGTCGCTTATAGGCAAAGTATTGTTATTCAGGTGTGAATCAGTTATTGGCGTGTTAGTCGAATTATTAGTCCCATTATTGGCCGGCTTAGAATTTAGCGTGGATGAAGTTTGCGTTGGTACAGTTACAGTAGCGCTTTTTTGTGTACGTTTAGAAAAGTCACACTGACCTGCTTGTAGCAACTTTTGTACCTGTTGCTGAAGCTCTGCAATATCCTTCTGCATCCTTGATATCTGCTCATCCTTCGAGTCTCCCATACGTTCCAATTCACTTACCCGCTGGCTAAGACAAACGACCCGTATGTCGATCTCAATTGAGCGCGTCGACTGATCTGTGATTGTATCAGCTTCAGAAGAACCCAGATTCGGTAGAAAACTTGTCGCAGAGATCGTCTGACGTGGGAAAGTGTCCGAAATGTTCGAACCATACATATATAGATCACAAATGTCATTCAAAAACGAGACATCCTTATTCGCTCCCTTCCGTGCTTTTAGTGTCAAAATTCGGAATTTCGTTTTGCTTTCGTCCAGCAATGGGGCCGAATTTGTCCAAGTAAATGTTAAATAATCTTTCTTTCGCATATCCAAAATACAGAATCCTCAGTGGTTCGTAATCTTCAGGCGTAGTTACTTCCATGAACTCATTGATAATAGTGTCTCTGTCTTCTTCTGATAATCTTGACAGAATCCTTTCTATGTGATCGGTATCGGGCGGAGCTGCCATAATACACGTCTGCTCTACTCGAGCTCTACTCATATTGTGTGATTATATTGAAATAAAATAAAAATGAGATTCTGTCGGAAATTGAAATAATATATTATATATTAATATATTATTAATATGTTATATTACGATCATGATGAAAACATTCTCTGAATGACTTTATATATTTTGAATACGATAAGTCGTCCAAAAAGTTCTTCCAGAACATCTGCAATATTATGGTAATGGCAAATATGAAGAAGACATTTTATTGACCATACATATGGGCCATGATACAAATGAATTTCTGAGAAATGAAGCTCTTGCACTTTTTAGCAAATATTATTGTTGTAGTTTTGATAAATATTTTTCAATTTTTTAAAAGAAGTTGACCATGATTCATATCAATTTGTTTTTCTTGTTTTGTAATGTTGCCCTTTGTTTCATCTAAATTATTCTCTCTCTCAGTCTTTTACATATTTATCTTATTAACTGATTTGAAGGACATTTTAAAGTCAACTCTTATGTGTCCAAGTTATTAAATGTCATATAAACCCTATAAAATAATGCTTAAAACTATTATGGTATTATGTCATAAACTTCTTTTATTTCATAAGGTAAACTGAACAAATGATTTACTTAATGTGTTTTTCATCCTGTTGAATGTTTGCCTGAATACGAAATTTACTATGAAGAAATTGGTAGGGTTGTGTTGATTAATTTTCTATTTTGCTGTTGAATTATAGAGAATCAGATTAAAACCTACATTATACACATTATGTAATTAGCATTCGATAACATGTTGTGACAGGATGTTTTAGATTTTCAAACCCTACTGTGGAGAGTTATATTTTTATGTATTTCAATTATATTTTCAAACCCTGCTAAGAGAATAGCTTTGATTTACACACAGTGTGCACATGCAAGGGGATTAACCTTGATTGCATTTACTTTCCAAATCACCAGTGCTAGCCTTGATTTTGAACTGTAAAGACATGGTAAGAAATTTTCATATATTTTTGTCACTTTTTACCCTTTAGAATATGCCAACATTATGCCAATTGTATTCATTTTATTCTCCATAACTTTAGCTCCAATTTGATGTAAATATTATTTTGTGTTTCAAATACTTTTGAGTAATTTCTTTGTAAAACTTGAACAATGTGTTGGAACAATTGTCCATAAGGTGATGTTCATTTCATGCACCTGTGCGTTATTCATTTACAATTAAAACCACCATTTATGTCATTTCATATGACTTATCTTGGTACACACGTTTTACAGGAGACACTGTGTGCGTACTAAAGATGTATGGCTAGCACTCAGAGACTGTATAGCTTATTTTATAAGGTACATTCCACATTTTATTTTATATTGCTCAATTGTAAACCTTCATGGTACATTTTGCATAAAGTAACTGAATTATATTTATATTTGGTAATTTCAATAGAGAAATGTATGTAGTGCGTCAAGCACAGTATAAGGGTTTTCTTGGGAACAGAATAAGGGCCCTTTAAGTCCCATAGCCCTTAGTACTAAGAAGTTTATCATAAAACTGTATGTTTCATTATTGTATTTTACCTGCTTTACAAACAGCTATTGGTACATTACTTTTATTTGCAGCTCTGGGGTACAAACTAGGTGCACAGCCTTCAGCATTTGTGGTTTTGGTCTTAAGTGAGTTAGTGATTTAGGTAGCTTGAATACAAGATCAGTTAGTGATTTAGGTAGCTTGAGTACAAGATCAGTTAGTGATTTAGGTAGCTTGAGTATTAAGATCAGTTGAGAGATTTAGCTCATTTGTATAACATTTTGATCATTTGATTGATTATAGGGTTGAATACATTTTAAATACATTTTTATATTCTTATTCTGTTAATTCGATTTGTAATGTAACCCACGTCCACTCCCCCATGGTTACAATGTTAAAAAGTTTCAAATACATGTTTGTATATATGTAGTAGCTTCACATTGGACTTTAGATCATTTCGAGCATCTAAAGTGGCACCTTAACCATAATGCTGACAGGGGGGGGTCAATGGACGCCTCTGGGGTTTCTTTTTTATCCAAGTAATATATAGGTTATCCAATGCAACTGTCAACAGGACGTTGTTATTGTAACATGGTCATTTTTACATTTTTATATTTCTACTATTCATGGTGATCAACCCCCATTCAGGTCATTTTAACAGGTCCCTTTGCTTACTTTTGCATCAGTGTGTTAGGTTTTAATCCCGTTGTTTATGTTCTTTTGTATGTGCTTTGTATGTTCACTTTCACTTACTTTTCTTTTGTTTAAACCTGTTTTGTATGTTGTGTCATGCTGTGTTTGTTTTATGTTATGTTTTATGTTCCATATTTGGTATTATTCACTCACATCGGAGTTGGGGTGTTGCCCCAGTATTTGTCAATAGTTGCCTAGAGGTATATGATAGATTGTGTACAGAACACTGTGTTTTGAAGTTGGAAATATATATTTTTTGAGACATTTTACTTAAATCTTACGTTTTATTATTTGCCACCCACGGCCTTCCATCGCCCATTTACAATGGTACCAGGAGTGGGGTAGGCACAAATATCAGCGAGTGGGGTGAGCACGAGCAACAGTGGGGTAAGGCAGATATATTATTAGGCAATCAAGGATATTCAATTAGTAAACAAGAAGCTGTCAAAATGGAGAAAACGATTTCTGAAACTTTAGAAACAATGACTAACCTTATGTCATCTTTCCTCGAACACTTGGATAAAATGCGAAGTGATTTGGAAAACATCAATGGATATTTATTTCGTGACACGCAATACTCTTCAATTCAAACTTGTTGGTTTTGCAAAATTCCTGGACATCATAAAGCAACATGTAAGAGATACAAGATGGCACGTCACTATTGTTCATTATGCGCCACATATGGACACCGTAACAAGGATCATTGTGAGCCAACTTCGAATACTAATTGCATCAAAATTCCGAACAACATGCACCCTGACCTTAAAACGGCATCCGTGCAAACCAAGAAAATAAAGGAAACTGACAAACCGAACCACAGCAAGTATTCGCAGACACAGACGTTTGACATGGATAAATATATAACTGCTGTCAAAAACTACAAGAAAATAGAAAGCGAACTTTATGGACAAAAACATGGTAATGACATTTATCGTGAGAAAATTCGCACAATGGAGACGGATACAGCTAATCTTAAATTACAATTGAAGTCACAAAAGAAACGTATTTTATCTTTAGAAGAGGAACTCACTGCATATGCAACAAATGATCAAAAAGCTGATTTAAATCCAGATCATCTAATATCTCAACTACAGGAATCGCAGAAACTTATTACATCTCTTCAATCTCGGAACAACGAATACTCGACAATGATACGTGATATGAATGCTAAACTCGACAATCAACTTCAGAGAAATATACTGGTTGGAAAATGTGATTATGCAACAAATTCAACGGATTCAAATTTGGACCTATGGAAACTTGGACTGCATATGTTTGGAATGCCTCACTACATAGGTACCCGTATAGATATCTCGAGTGTTATTGACTTTTCGGCTTATCTCTACTAATCCACTCGAGTTAAGCCTTTAAGTCAACAAACCGACCCTTCGCTAACCCTAAGGCCCGATAAGAGGCTTCCTAGCCCCCGAAAATCGACCCTATTTCCCTCCCCCACCACGCCCCTACCCAGGGTATAGTTAGGGGTGAAGTCTTCTAGGCCTAACCTAACCCCCCTAAACACTTTGGCGCGGGTCCCATCTCTCTAGCTCTTCCCGTTCGGGAGATAGAAATCGGGCTGTCGGAGCCGCTTTCTTTGATCTCGCCGACACCCCCTCCCTCGCATATTCAGGCAATTTCAGTTATACCCTTACTATACTCCTCCAGTCTTAACCCTAATCGCTATAACGGATAAAATTGGTTTTTACCGAACCTAACATTATAATAAAAAGTAGTAGACTGATTTCACGTCAAAATTCTCTTGATACCACACAATAATTGTAAAATAAAACTCCCTAATAAATGATGTCTTTCATTTGTCGAAATGTAGCCACATCCCCACATTCTAACTTCTGTGAAGTTTTACGTTTTAAATCATATTGTCCGTGCCTGCATGTATTTTTAGCTCAAAATAGTGGCTGAATTTTACGAACTGTACATTCGATATGTACATTAAATCAAAACTTGTAATCATAATAGCATAGTAGTCTACTAACATTTTCATTCAATAATGACATAACAATAATATGTTTTTAATACATAAACAACTATATTCTGATATATTTTGTTTTTGTTTTCAATATTCTTGATGATTAAGTTAACTATCTTATCTAGCATAAAACAATATAACAAAAAATATTTTACACTACATAGTCTCTTTGAAAGGTGCAACTTTGAAAAGTATCAGAATGTGATCTTTGGATTCTGATCTGCATATCCGAAACATAACGCTTGACCAAACCATCGTTCAATTGCGTATTTGAACAGAAGTCTGGTAATATATCTTCTACACTTCTGCCCTTGCACCATTGTACAGAAAAGTATGGTGTATTGTCCACACACTGATGAATCCAAGCTTTGAAGTCTAACTGAAGTCTAGATAATTTTTCTTTTTAGCTCTTTGCAAATGTTTCGAAATCTGAGTTGTAACAGTAATAAGACGGTGCGTGGCCGTAGGAATCTACAAAATACACGTTTCTTCTGCTATCTCGCTATCTCTGGGTACTATAAAGAGGCACCAATGTTGACCCTCTTGAGATGTTTTGTCTGTATTACTAACTAATATCTCGCACTTTGGAGCATTGTGTAGGACTAAGCTACGTAACTCATCGCTACCAAACACTCCGCAATGTTTATTTTTGGTTAAGTTTTTGCTTTTCAAAATACAATTAATCTCCTCCGTGTTCATTTCGTCGTTAAATCAGTTGAATATAACCTTTCTGGACTTGTCTATTTCGAAGACTGTGGGGAAGACACGAACTGAAATGTTATCTTCGATATTGAGTTTACATGGTTAAGACTTACAAAGTTCAAGCAGTCAACTTATACCAATATTGCGTGGATTAAATGTAGTTTCCCGTCCATAATGACCATTATAATAAACCCATTTTCCCAAAACGCAAAGAACCATATTCTAATTGTGTTTTGTATTTTTATCGACTTTTTCATGTTTACAATAATTTTCACTAATTTAACTATTAATAACAAATTTAATCCGCACATTCTCTTCGGAAGCTGTCAGAAGGTGATCTTTGCCTTTTTATCTGCATATTTGAACAGAAAGTTTAACCAAGCCATCGTTCACTTGGGTATTTGTACTGAAGTCTGATTATATATCTTGTACAGACCTGCCCTTTCACCATTGTACCGAAAATATATCAGTATTGTACACATACTGAAGACAAGGCATACAGAAGTTGAGACAACGTTTCTTTGTAATCTCTTCGTAAATGTTTCGAAATCAGAGTTGTTATGAGACTGTATGTGGCGGTATGAATCTATAAAATAGACGTTGGACATTCCTCGCCTGTTCTTGTAGATAACATACTACATACGTGTTCATCGAAATTAATGCTATTGTTCAATATTCGGCCCGAATATGTAGAGTGCTTAACGCTTTCGAGGAAAGTTGTCATTAAAAGTGAATTGCATATTGGATTTTGAGAAAAACAATTGTTATCTTGAAAGTGTTAACAATAAGGTGATACCTCTTACAGAATTTAAATAGACAATTTAACATTCTTTCAGCTCAATCTTCAATATTTGAATATAAAATTAAACCATCAGTCCAAAGTAAAAGATTTATCTTATGACCATCAATTTAAATTTTACTGTCTTTTGCAAAATAGTGTGACAAATCGTCAAGGAAGTGGTTGAATAAGTAATTACTTAGCCCTTTATGTCGGCATATGTCTCGAAAGTAGGGGCGATACCATCTTTGAGTTTCAGACAAGTTTTCGATTTTTTATCCATTCTGAAAAATGATTATATGAAACTAGTTGAATTAGGTCGTATATCCAGTTTGCATGGTTTACACATTAAACATATTAACATAATCGAACGCTTTTCTGAAGTCAATCCTAATTCGTTATACTAGTTTCTTTTACTCGTCTATAGTGAGATATATGAGTGCGTAAGATAAATAAAGTGTGCTTTGTCTGATTTAGATTGCGTCGACAACATTGCCTGTGCACGCTTAAACATTTATTACTCTATAATTATCAGGATCAAACGTACTAGTATACAATCTTTCTTAGAAATAGTTTATAACATGCCTATTCCCCATTCATTTGGGTAATCTACACTTAGAAAAACATGATTAAAAGAATGGTGATATAGTCCATGGTATGAAATCTTTAGGACGTAGAATTCATGAATAATTGAGAAAAATCGTTATCATTATCTTCCTAAAATCTGATTGTATCCAGCGGTAAGGTCAAAGAAGAAACAACCACCAGAAAACTTGATGAAAACCACAAGTAATGTCGCGGAAGAATTGTAAGGCGTTCGATTGCATATGTCTCTAATTGATTATTACACATGCCCTTGGAATATATGAACATTCCAATACCTCTGTAACATTTAATTAGATATATATCTTATACCTATTTGTTATTGTATTATGTTTTATAAAACATGAACAATAATTTGTTGTTAAACTCCTTGCAATTATATGGAAAATTTCTGGTAATAAAATGTTTCAAATGGTAGGAAAACTAATATGTTCCCAATCATAAATTACCTAAATATTCCACACAATTCTGTTGAATCATATTTGAAAATTCAAACAAAATCTGAAAAATACACTTGCGTAATTACATTAATCAAACACCGACATCTACAGTAAAATCATAGTATATGTTTACATTATGATAATCAATTTTTTGCTCGTATGCTTAGAATAACGGTCTGTGTCTTATAAAATGTATAAAAGTTCGAATCAAAATATTTAAGTTTTTTGACCCCTTGTGTTGAAAGACATTTTTCGACCCGAAAGCCGGAACTTTTTCAGCAAATGGTATTTTTAAAGAATCGAGACATATACACCTTCATAAATATTGGTTCAAATGTTGCTGCGCTATAGTATATATATTTATTATTCGGAAATCATACCATGAACTAATATCAGGAATGAGTGATTTGCAGTTTTAATAATATTTGAGGGTAAACCATCAATTATTCCAGCAGCTTTATCATAATTTATTAACTCTATTTAAAGCCATATACACTTCAGCTTATTCTTGAATCTTGTTATTTCCAATATTGTCACTCAATTTCATTTGTGTACTTGAACTACAAACACCAAACTTGTCTCTGCTCGTTTACAATGATGTAACAAAACTAGATAAATTGTTTTGCCAAATAATAGAATATGGTATTTAGTTGTAAACGCAATGGATCATTGTAAGTTGGGCAATAAAAAAACAGTGGGATAGTGGTGGGGAATGGGTGGTTTTCGAAAAATGCAGTACAAAATAACTCCCGTATTCTTCAATGTCAAGTAATAATCAGAGAAAGAAACGTATAATAAATACTAAATGTTCTTTCACATAAATTAAATGTATATAGTCCGTTTGTCATTTTCTGAACGTATGAATTTGTAAAAAAGACGATGTTTTATTTTTAGAAATCACCACAATAAGGGTTTTCTGAAGCGATTTAGCAGGGTTGCCAAAAAAGTGATTATCTTTAATATTTTGAAAAGTAAGCACAGAAACATCAAAATTTTTGTGTCTAAACACAGGTTTTCAGGGTCAGGGAATAAGATGAAATTATTTTTAAAAAATCAAGATTAGAACACTAATTTTATTCTCTATGCAAAATAAGGACATCCATTATCGAAATAGTGATAACCTTCAATATTTGTAAACTTAGTACAGTAGCATGACAATATTGGTGTCTAAAACTAGGATTACAAGGTCAAATACTAAGGTGAAATGATAAAAAGTATTTAATCGAAAATAATTGTGATCATGCAAATTAGGACGGCCATTATCAAGTTATTGATTATCTTCAATATTTTGGAGACTCGCCACAGTAGCACCACAATACTGGTGTCTAAATCCAGGTTTTCAGGGTCAGGGAATAAGATGAAATTATTAAAATCATGATTACAGCATTTATTCTTAATGCAAAATAAGGGCAGTCATTATCGGAATAATGATAACCTTCAATAATAGTACAGTAGCAGTACAATATTGGTGTCTAAACCTAGGTTTTCAGGGTCAATAATAAGATAAGATGAAATGATGAAAAAGTATTTAAACGAAAATAATTGTGATCATGCAAATTAGGACGGCCATTATCAAGTCATTGATTATCTTCAATATTTTGGAGACTCAGCACAGTAGCATCACAATACTGGTGTCTAAATCCAGGTTTTCAGGGTCAGGGAATAAGATGAAATTATTAAAATCATGATTAGAGCACTAATTTTATTCTTAATGCAAAATAAGGACAGCCATTATCGGAATAGTGATAACCTTCAATATTAGTACAGTAGCAGCAAAATATTGGTGTCTAAACCTAGGTTTTCAGGGCAATAATGAGATGAAATGATGAAAAAAGTATTTAAACGAAAATAATTGTGATCATGCAAATTAGGACGGCCATTATCAAGTCATTGATTATCTTCAATATTCTGGAGACTCGCCACAGTAGCACCACAATACTGGTGTCTAAATCCAGGTTTTCTGGGTCAAAAAATAAGATAAAATGATAAAAATTATTAAAACAATAATGATTGTGATCGTACAAATTATGGCGGTC